TGGATGAGGAGATCAGACAGGAGCATCAGGCTCAGCTCCGCAGATTGAAAGGGACCAGCTCAGTCGTGATGCCTGAGACGAGGCAGGGGCTGACCTGGGAGGAGACAGCACCACAGATGATGGATATGAACTTCATTGGGGCTGCTTCCTTCCATGGTTATATGAAGAACAAGAAGTCAACAGTCTTCATAACCAGTCTGTATGAAATTGATAAACAGCTTGAGGAGAAGCGGGGTTTAGTGGGAGCTGAGGATGAGTCTGATGAGGAGCTGATCAGCAACTTACCAGAATGGTTGAAAGGCCGGGAGGACTGCTTCTCAAAGAAAGCATCAGATGAACTGCCCCCCCTACGGAAGAATGTTGATTTTAAAATAGAGCTCCAGCCTGATGTTGACCTCACCCAGGGCATTGGACATGCGCCTCTATATAAGATGAATCTAGAGGAACTAGAGGCAGTGAAGACCTACCTTGAAGCCAACCTAGCAAAGGGTTTCGTCACCCCAAGTTCAGCCCCCTACGCCTCCCCAATCCTGATTGCCCGTAGTGGGAAGAAGCTACGATTCTGTGTTGACTTTCGCAAGCTGAATGCTATAACCAAACGAGATCAGTATCCCTTGCCCCTGATAGATGAGCTGATGGACCGACTCAATGGGGCGAAATACTTTACAAAGTTGGACATTCGGCAGGGGTTCCATCGCATCCGAATGGACCCTGAGTCTGAGGACCTGACCACCTTTAGAACCCGCTACGGGACCTATAAATATCGGGTGGTCCCCTTTGGCCTTACAAACGCCCCTGCCTGCTTTCAACGGTTTGTTAACAGTATCTTCTTTGACTACCTGGACAAGTTTATGACAGCATTCATGGATGATCTTCTAATCTATAGCAAGAATCTGGAGGAGCACAAGCAGCAGGTAAACTCAGTGCTAGACCGACTAAAGACAGCAGGTTTGCAAGCCAGCATCCAGAAATGTGAGTTTGCAGTCCAGAGGACAAAATACCTAGGGTTCATCATCAGTACAGAAGGGATTGAGGCAGACCCAGAGAAGACAGCTGCCATTGTGAGATGGCAGGCCCCCACCACAGTCAAAGGAGTCCAGTCATTCCTAGGATTTGGCAATTTCTACCGACGATTCATAAGGAACTACAGCCGAATCGCAAAGCCACTGTACCAGTTGACAAAGAAGACTATCCCATTTGTGTGGACATCAGAATGCAAATCAGCCTTTGAAAAACTGAAGAGGCAGCTGGTGGAGGCTCCGACACTGCGTTACTATGACCCTGAGCGGGAGACTCGTATTGAGACTGACGCCTCTGACGGAGTAGTGGCTGGGGTACTAAGTCAAAGATTTGAAAATGACCTTTGGCACCCAGTAGCCTTCTATTCAAAGACAATGAATGGTGCAGAGCTTAATTATGAAGTTCATGATAAGGAAATGCTGGCAGTAGTCCGGGCCTTACAAGAATGGCGGGCAGAGCTTGAGGGACTACAACGGGAGGAACGATTCAAGATCCTCACTGATCATCGTGCACTGGAATACTTCATGACTACCAAGAAGCTGAATGCACGTCAAGCCCGCTGGGCAGAGTTCCTCTCCCGTTTCTACTTTGAGATCAAGTATCGACCAGGCAAGGCCAACCTGCTAGCAGACGCACTGAGCAGGCCTGAGCAGGTTAGAAGGCAACAGGACGGCCGTATGCAGATCCTCCTAGGACCAGAGACCCTCGACCCCCAGATCACTCCCTCTACAGACATTGCTAGCATCAACTCCTCAGAGAAAGAGAGCATTGCTGAATGCATAGTGTCTCTAAACAAGACAGCCACCTCAATTGAGCCCCTGCGGCAGCGGGCAGATGAGGAGAATAGTCCCTATACAATGGAGGACAATGGGCTACGGTACAATGGAAGACTAGGGGTGCCTGTTCAGGAAAAGGAAACCCTGATAGCCAAGCTACTGCAGGAAATTCATGATCAAGCTTCAACAGCACACCCTGGAGGACGAAAGACCCTGGCCCTGGTGCAATCACGCTATTGGTGGGCCACCTGGGGGACAGACGTCCTACGCTATATTCGGAACTGCCATGTGTGCCGGATCAGTAAAATTCCAAGAGATAAGACTCCTGGTTTGCTAAAGCCATTACCAATACCAGAACGGGCATGGCAGCATATTGCAATGGACTTCATGGACGTGCCGAAAAGCAAAACAGGTTATGATGCCATTTTGGTCATAGTATGCCGGCTAAGCAAGAAGACAATCTCCATTCCAACCACCCGGGGAGTTACAGCCCAGGAGCTGGCCCGACTATTCATTCGATTCTACTATTCATACAATGGGGCGCCTGACTCAATTGTCTCTGACCGAGGCCCCCAGTTCATATCAAGCTTTTGGGATGAGTTTACACAGATCCTGGGCATAAAACTGAAACTCTCAACGGCGCATCATGCACAAACTGATGGACAGACAGAAGTGGTGAATCAATACATTGCCACCCGTCTTCGCCCCTATGTCAGTTACTACCAAGATGACTGGGATGAGTGGCTGCCCATTATAGACCATGCCTCCGCAGCTACCCCAAATGCTTCCACAGGGATCTCCCCCTTCCTCGCAGCAAATGGATATGAACCCCGAATGTCATTTGACTGGCAACCACTGGCGGAGAAATTGGACATGAATGAGAAAAGAAATCGAGAAGCAGCAAGGAGCTTCATTCACCGAATGAGAGAGATCTGGAACCAGGCGAGTAAAGGCATAAGGACAGCACAGGAACAGATGAAGAGGCAGACTGACAAGCACCATCGAGAGCCTGACTTTGCAGTAGGAGATTTTGTTTATCTAACATTGAAATCATACAAGATGGATCGACCAAGCCGTAAACTGGCAGAGCAGAATGCCGGCCCCTTCAGAATCCTGGAAAAGGTGGGCAATGCCTACAAACTGGACCTCCCCATAACAATGAAGATTCATTCAATCTTCTCCCCAGACAAGCTACGCAAGGACTCCAGAGACCCTCTACCTGGCCAGACTATCAGACCACCAGACCCAATTGAAATAGATGGTGAGAATGAATGGGAAATAGATCGTATACTGGCCAGTCGAATAAGCCGGAGCAAGCTGCAGTATCGGGTGCGCTGGAAGGGGTTTGATGAGGATTCTTCATGGTACCCCGCTCGCGACTTCAAAGGATCACCACACGCCATACGCGACTTCCATGAGGCTAACCCTACAAAAGCTGGACCCCCAAGGCGACTAGATGAGTGGCTGAAGGCATGGGAGACAGACAGCTACCTGAAGGACGAGGTTGATGACGACCTACCGGCATGAGGACATGCCTGCCCCTAGACCGGGGGGTGATGTTAGGCTCAGCGTCCGACCGAGCCCGACCGAAGGCCGGTGCCCGGTTAGACTCGACGTCGGATTAAGCTCGGCGCCCGATTAGGCCTAATCCATATCACGTGACCACACGACCATGCAGGTGGTTATAATCCACGCAGGCCCCAGCACCCCCTTTCATCCCATCAAGCTTAGTATTTCGTTATATAGCAGTTAGCAACGCAGAGAGTTTCCTTCTTATGCAGCTCGCATTCGCTCCCTAACAATTTTCAGTTATTTAACTAGTTCTAATCTTGAGCTTATATTCTATAGAGATTAAAAGTAGAAATCTTATATCATATACTCTTTACTTTTCACAAGTATGTTTTTTCAAAGCTAACTTTGAAGTAGAAGAATTTAATAAGACTAAAAAAAAAATCAAAACTGAAAAAACTTTCATATGAGATATAATATGAAATTTCTCAACAACAGATAGAAGAAATTTCATAAGAATCATTGAAATATTTTTTCAAAACTAAAATTTCTTTATAATTAATTTTCATATTTTTTAAATCAAGTATTATAAGTTGATAATGAAAATTATTGATAATATTTAATTTTTTTGAGAATAAATATATTCTATTAATTATATATTTAATTTTTGATTAAATTTTATAAAAATTATCTATCTTATCAGATTCTGTAGAAGTTTTGACTGATTGTATTTAAAATTCAAATTTCATAAAATTGACTATGTTTTGAAAAGAATATTGTATTTTATAAAGCTCATCTAATTCTCTAAGTAGTCAGATTGAATAATTTAAAGTGTTTACAGTCATATCACATAGATTTAATTATATTAGAAGTCAATAAGTAAGTGTGATTAGTTAAGAAAGCAGATGATTATATATCTATAAATAGAAAAAAAAACTAATAATTAAAAATACAAATAATTATATAGAAAATAATATATATATTTAATAATTTTAATATATTAAAAATATATTATTAACTTTTTAAATAATAAAGTAATAATTATTTATATAAAACTTTTATTAAACTTTTATTCTTTAATAAATATAATAAAATAACATTCTATTTAGTTAAAAGAAAAAAAGACATTATATAAATTTTATAATTATGATATTTTATAAAGAAAAATATAAATTAATTTAGTAAATATAATATAACTAGTTATGAAATTTAATACTTATATAATTTTTATTTTATCTATATAAATATTATACTAAATTTATATTCTATTAATTAAATTATACTACTGTTTAATTTACTCAATTTAAGTTTTTAAATTCTTTTAATATCAATTTTTCTATTAATAAAAAATAAGACTTTAAGATTATATTATAAGAATTTTGCAGTTCACACTTTGTACTAACAGATTGTATCTTGAAGATATATATGCAAGAGAAAATGAGCTTTGAAATCGTCATTGAATATTTATTCATCTAGAAGTTTCTTCTTTTCAGGACTTGATCTTTGCTGAAAGACATGGCTGGCAGGATTGATTGCTAAACTAGCCACTCGGAAAATGCTTCTAGAGATGTTAAATGCCTGTTGCTGCTGCCTGTACAGAGGAATAAAGGCCATTTTCTAGGCTGTTAAGGGCTGATTGGATAGATTCCTCGCGTTAAGAGGCCATTTTAACAAGGTGGCTGAAATAATCGCGCTTTAGGTATGAATGTGGTTGGATATTACGCGGTTGGGCGTCTTACTGACAATTGGGTGTTGGGTTTTAGTTGTTGCGGCAACGTGTGCTTCCTTCCTCATGCCTGGAAGCTTCGGCCAATCCATGGGAAGCTGCGAGAAGCTGCGAATGCTGCGGTGTTTTCGGGCAGGCGTCACGTGTACCGTCACCGCCTTTTGACCCGGGTTACAAAACAACAGAAGAAATACGTACGTAAGATACGGCCATTCGATTACCTCAGTTACCTCAATTACCTCACTTTACCGTGATTTGCCCGATCGGGTATTTTTCAACCTCAGTCACCAACATCATCCAACCATCGATAACTTCTTCGCCAACTTCATCCATTTCATCCATTTCATCCACTTCATCCACTTCATCCACTTCATCCACTTCATCCCCTTCATCCATTTCATCCATTTCATCCATTTCATCGACTTCATACCCTTCATCCAGTTCATTACCAACATTTTCCTTGCTCTCCTCCCCTCTCCCCTGTGTCTATTCCATCATCTCTACCGCCTCCCCGTCTCAGGCTCGAAATCTGGCTCCCTCCAATCCCCTCCTTGCTCCTTAAGCCACTGTCTTTGCTGGTCTACCCCGGTTCACCAAAACGGCCCCAGTCAACTAGCCAAGTTCTCTCGAGGTTTGATTGGCCTTTGATTCCACCTCGCCCTCTTGAATCGTTCTCGCTCACTGGACCACCGCATCATTACTCAGCGCCTGTGTTACCTGGAACATCCACACCCTTGTCAAGTTGCAGTCTTTGTTGAATGTGACCCCATTATTGCTATTTTCGTGTTCGCTCGGCTTCGTTGGGCTTTCTAAGTGGGCGCCCTCCATTGGTCTTGACCCGCCAGCTCGTTTTCGCTCCGTGCTACCTGCAGTAATAGGCAAGCTTCGACAAGGCTCCTTCACCCGTGAATCTGTGATTTTTCAAATCCATAGGGCTCAACACTACTTTATGAAAAGTGATCACGCCACGGCATCTGGGAAAGGAAGCCAAAACGGGAGTGTGCCTAGAGGGAAAAGAAAACAGCCACGGAACAGCAATTGTTAGGAATTCTTTTGGAACGCCAGGAACGCGGTACGTCCCGCGCACGCCAAAAGCAAAGGAAAACCTTTCAACAATTGGATCAACTATTTACGAAGTGCCTAGTATACTCAAGTAATTTTTTTTGCGTTCCTCCCCGAACTCACCGAAAGCTGTGGAATAATAATAAAATTTTGGGGACAACAAATAATTAACTGTCGGCAAAACTTTCAATCAACTGAGGAACTCTCCACTCTGTTCGGCTTCAGCCACTGTTCTCAGTCGGCCAACGACGTCTTCCAAACGAGATATCTAAACTTCCAACTTTCCATATCACGACTTACCACCTATTCCGTACAGCGACGGGCTATCCTTTGTACTTTTCATGAACCTTAACGTGACGTTTTTTTCCGGACACACGATGAAGTTTCCTGTCAATTCTTAGCCTGTTTTTCTTTCTCTATTTCTTTCTTTCCTTTTTCCTTTTCCTTTTTTTTATTTATTTATTTTATTTTTTACCCCGGTCGTGTAACGTGCACTACGTGAATTCGGAACCAGTGTGCAGGCTGGTCCCTGCAAATTCAGCCCAATCCGTAATTTGGGTCTGGTTGAAAACCTGATTCCATACTTTGTCGTCTCGTCCATGGCTTCCTCGTCGAGCAACCCTTTGCACTCCAATAATATGCCGGCTGATGTCAACAATGCGCTGGCCCACGGTGGGGGCACATCGACCACGCGAACAAGTTCTAGCCCAGATGTGCAAGGTCCTTCTCAATCCGACTCTATTGTCTCGCCCGTAGTGCTCCAGACTCCAGTAGTGAGCATGTCTTATCACACCAGACATAACTCTTCCAGACGATCCGCACCAGTATCTTCAGCCAACTCAGCTTCTTCATCGCGTGAGACCTCTCCCACCCGTTATCCCCTTCGATCGATAAGTTCCGCTACAGTGTCAAGATCCGGATCCCGATCGCGCAAAAATAGTCAGGAACTGAGTCCAACTCGTGGTCCGGGGAGCTCGTTGAATCCGCATGCCCTTGTATCCTCCGCTATTGCTCTCCCACGAAAACACTCCAATGTGAACAAACCGCAGCTGCCTCCGCCCTCCTCTGACCTACCAACAGACTTACCCCGTCCCAGCAAGTCTAATAACATGCCCCAGAGGCATGACGACACATCACCCCAATGGCCTATATCGCCCAGACTCATATCACCTCCCCCGTCAGTCCTCTCGTCGCGTAACAATGTCTCTCACGCTTCGTCAAAACGACTAGATCACGACATCACCACGGCAAATATGGCCATCAAGAGAAACCCTGCACCGACTGCTGATGCCGCGCAAGGTGAAAATGCACCAGAAGAGGAAGCTGATAAGTTCACTCGCCAAAATTCACGAGTTTCTTTGAATAGAGGGGCTAGCGTGGCCGGATCGACGTTAGAAACGGTACAAGAAACCAACGCCTCGACATCGTCGCCCGTAATTCAGACTAGGGAGGAAAATGTGGAGGAAAATGTACCATGGAATGCGAAAACTGGTATGGAAAGTGGAAGCGACAGCGGTGGGAACAAAAGCAAGTCAAGGGTAGCTTCGGCCAACACGAGGCCGGGTGATATTATCTCAAAGCGCTCGTTTACCTCTCTCAGTGTCGCGCGAGGGAAACCCGGTGATGCATCCGCTAGAAACATGATCATCGAGGCAGAAACAGTCAGTTCCGTACCGCAAGTAGCTCTTGGCGGTGGTGCAGGCGAACGAGGCGTTTCTGGAAGAGCAGATGTTGGAGGGAGCATCCGGTTGAAAGCAAGCGACGAAACTATTCGACCAAGGAAAGAGAAGAAGAAATCAGCGCGCAAGGTGACAGCACTTCCAGCCGGCACAGGTTTGTTCACACCTATTTATGCCTTTGTTACCATCTGGCTCTTCTTGATGGCTAACTGAAATTCCCATTTAGTTTCGTCCAAGGCCGATATATTTGAGGCCAAAGTTGCAAGTGCTGTCGATGAGGTCGATTCTTCAGATTCTGCGGAAACTTTCGTTTACGAGTCAAATCCTCCAGATTCTCATCCTGCTCGGCAACACAGATATCACTCGAGAACCCCCAGCACTACGTCAATGACTAGCCAATTGGATCAGTACGGGGGACGCACACGACATGGCGTCAGGGACCAAGGCATTACTGGCAAGAGGAGTATGAAGTTCACGAATGCTGGGTATGGGACTTTGGATGGAGAAGGAGACCTGTCTGGCGGTAGAGGCAGCGGAAGAACTAATGGACATATCCATACCTCACGCCATTCTCATATTGGCCGGCATGGTAGGAGTGGTCATGCGTCTGTGCTTGATCCGTCTCCCTTTATTGTATCCCAGAGTCCGAAGTCCTCGAGGCATAATGTCAGCAACGGTAGTAGACAAACCTACCGCAGCGCCCATGGCTATCGTATGACTGGAAGCCCCAAAAAGAATGGGGACACCTATGGCTACGATTTCGATGGTGAAGGCGCAGATGATGAACGAGCGCCGCTTGTTGGGTCTGTGCGTGGGGGCCGCGGTCGCCATGGTCACCGTCCCAACAGTGCCAGTCTGCGTCAGATGGAATATATGGAGGAACGCCAGCGCAGCTGTTTAGGACGGTACGGCTTTTGTACCATTTTAATGGTTTTCCTATTAATTTGCATCGGGGGAGTGACTACTCTCGTCGTCGGTCTCATGAAACCGCTTGTGCATGTGCATGTCCGGAAGATCCAAAACGTCCTGGCCTCGGAGCAAGAAATCATGTTTGGCCTCGAGGTGCAAGCCGTCAATCCTAATATCATGTCGCTTACCATTAACGATATGGATGTCAATATATTCGCCAAGAGCAGGTTTGTTGGTAGCGAGTCGTTCTGGCGGGATTCTGATCCTCGCCCAGATCTATTACCTCTGCCAGTACCGCGGACAAAGGATAGCAGAACGAGGGCCCGCTTGATCAGTTCGTTGAAGGAGCCCACCGCATCTGCAGACGACACCAAACTACGCGATTCGTACGAAGGAACTGACGAGGACGATAATCCCATTTTCGAAGACCCTTCTGTTGATCCACAGACAATGTTACTCGGTCGCATCTTCCATTTCGATTCTCCTCTAACTTTCGAATCTTCCCCCTGGAAGCACCTGCCATCCTGCTCAGTTGGTGAAGTACGGCTGGCGAAGCCAGGAAACAAAACTGAAGAGGGCGGCACGGCCCGCTGGGAACGCGTCCTGCAACATCCCTTTGAACTGATCGTGCGGGGCGTTGTTAAATACCACCTACCCCTGACCTCGCGCAGGTGGTCCGCGTCCATCAGCTCGAAGGTGAGGATAGCTTTGGACGATGATGGTGGCAACAAGGGCGGATCCAAACACCCAGAAATCCCCGGGCATGGCAACAACGAGACTGTCGCCGAAATTCATCGATCCTGACAGTCATATAATTGTCGTCGGTGCCCTCTGTCATTGCCCAAATTCTTGTCATTTAGGCCATCCTGTCGAGAAAGAGGATTTGATTTAGACCCAATCACCTTTACTTCTCTTTTCTTTTCTTCATTTCCATTTCCTTATTTTTCTTCGGTTTTTCTACTGATCGTTAATCCCACCTTTTTTTAATATTTTTGTATACCCACGTCGCGTTGCATAAGGGTTTCTTTTATTTCCCTCCCCCCCTTCCCCCTCCCCTTCTTTTCTTACCGTTTTCGATTTTGTTTGAATTCGTCCTTTTGATTCTTTAGCGGCTATAGGTAGTTAAGGGGCATTAAATATCGCATCGGCAATTAAAACAACCATGCGACAAAACAAACGGCAAAAAAGGCACGCAGAAATGGTGTTATTTTATTTACGGTGGTTTTCTCTTCTCTCTACTCAGCATTTATTCGTCTATCGAAACCTTTTTTTTTTTTTTTTTTGGGTTCGAACGACGATCCGTGGGGGCTTTAAATAAACAATTATAGAACGGGAAATGGTGGATAGACAACAATGAAGTCCTCCCAGGAAGTTGGGGTGATTTGGCGCGTCATATCAGGTCTTCCAACATACCTATACACACTCCTTTTGTTTTTCCTTTGTTTTTGAAAATTATCTATCATGATGTGACGAGATAAAAAGAGATATTCAGATTGTTGTTATTATCACTGGGAATGGAAAGGGGGAAATATAGTGGGAATGAAATCTTCACAGAAGACATAATTTTCCCATTAAAACTTTACATCTTTTTGTGGACTCCTTGTGCTATTATTGAGATATTTGTCACAGACTTGTTTACGTAGTTACAAGGTCTTTTATCATTGATTGAGAGATGCAGTTCGCCCACACATCATTCCCAATTTACAAAGACTCAAGTTCCAGAGACAACCTGTGTCATTTTGATGATGGAAGATTTTAACAAAACAATCTTCACACGACACAGTCCAAATCTTGTCCTACAATGGTAGCACCCCAACTCACCACAGGCCAAAAAAATGACCACATCTCTCATGCTTGTGCTTCTTGTCCAACCGTCCTCCTAACAAAGGTCTTACGCACCATTTCTTTGCTTCTAATTTGCCCATCCTCCGGTTGTCCTGGCAGTTTAAACTCGGTTTAATCGCAGGTCACCCCCTTGTTGACGTCGACGATATTGATTCTTGTGACCTAGTTAACTAATAAGCAAGTCGGTGACAGGGGGCTCGAGACTCCTCAGTCGACGCTGGATTTTGTAGGATTGTTTGTCCTGAGTGACGCTGATGTAAAGCGAACTGGTCATAATCTGGAATCCAAGGTAAAGGGCAAACTTTACGTAATGGGACAAGATTTTCTTCACATTCTTATTTATATACCCCCAAAGCATAATGTTAAACCGCTGAGGGTCGATAGATACTCAGTCGTCTGGAAACAAGCTGGAGAAGAAGGTATCCAGGTAACGTGTATTTGAAGCGGTAACCTAGATAGGGGTTTATTTTTTTAATATCTTCTCATAGCCCTAGCATGTTCTCTATTCTCTAGAGAATTCTGTAGTTCTTGAACTCCCTTGTAGGAACCCTCCTTTCAAACATGATGTCAAGTTCCTCATAAGTCCGCCCTTTCGTCTCAGGGACACAAAAATAAGTCCATATAAAACAAAGAACAGCCAATCCCTATAAAATCTCGGTTAGCAAGGTGGAATCGACATTTCGAGAGCAGCGCACAATGCAAAGGCTATACTTACACCAAAAAAGAACCCTAATTTCCCTCTCATATTCCCAGCATCCGGATTTATCATATAAGGAATCGCAACCGTCATAACTATGCCGAAGAGAGCTTGAATAGCCGTTGAGATGGCGATCGTCTTCCCTCGAAGTTTGGTCGCCGAACATTCACATAGAATAACGAAACACACAGGCCCAACTGAGAGGTCATAGACAAAATTCCACAACAGCATCATGGAAGACTGAGCCCAAATTACCTTGGGCCGTTCCGTATAGTTGGGCACACAATCCAGGATGCCGACGATAAAGAGAATAACTGCCAGTCCAGCAAGGCCGCTGCTGTAGATCACCCGACGCCCAAAGTATGCAAGTAGAATCCAGGATAAGATGCATCCCAGAAATCCCACACCGAGAAAGCCGACCTTGGGGATGCCGGTTAGGGTTTGCATTACGGTTTTAGCAGGAAAACAGGACACTTACACCCATATTGAATGCATCATCGGTAGGGAGACCAGCCACTATTGATTAAGCATTAGTACTTCTCAGCCTGCGTGAAGTGTAGGTAACTATCACGTACGAGTGAAAAAGTAGTTGGAGTATCCAATGAGATAAATTCCGGCGAGAACTTGAATGCTGTATACACCGATGGCAATCTGGGTGCGGCGAAGGCTGGATCTCTTGAAACAATCACGGAAAGTAGTTCCGGCTTCCAGCTCTTGTTCAAGGCGATCGGTTTCGATAATCACTTCCTAGACAAGGTTTCAGGGACATGTCCTAATGCACTGAGTTTGGCACAGATAAACTTACCAAGGTTGGTTTGACGTCAACTGTCGATACTGCGAGCCTTCGAAGTGAATTTTCGGCGTCTTCCAGCCTCCCCTTCCTGACGAGCCACCATGGACTCTCAGGGGCAAAGAAGAGCCCAGCAAGGATTACGGCTGGCCAAAACCATTGAGTCGCAAAAGGGGCACTGTATGCCCAGTGGTTGTCTAGCCCGTGTGTTGCGGCAGAAATCCCGTTTGCTGTAAACTGGCCGATCACAAAACAGAGGTTCACGTATGCAGTCAAAATACCACGTAGAGCAACGGGGCAAACCTCCGAAGCATAGGCGGGAGCAATGACCGCATACGATCCCAAGACTAGACCTCCAAGGAGCTCACCAACGATCAATACTTTTAAGGAGCGTGCAAAGAACTGAATGAAGACACAGCTCGTCGTAATGACGACGCAAGCCTACAGGAAGAGCAAAAGCAATTCAGCATGGCCTTCTAACACACTGATGAATACACAGAGAGCATACTGCAAAAGTTTTCTTCCTACCAAACCACTCCATCGGATATGTAGCGGCTAGAGAGCCTACAACTTGGCCTATGGGACTTCCCATACTATTTATTAAGACACTGAATAAGCATCCCTCCCCCTAGATATTAGAGGATTTGGTAGTATAGAATATTATTGACCTGAGACCAGACTGCCAGGCAGCAGAGATTATCCATTTCCCTTTGAACAGATATCCGAAATCTTCTTGGAATCTAGGAACTCCATAGAGATTCCCAATGACCTGAGGGTCATAGCCCGTCATGATTACCCCAAGAGAGAAAAAGAAGGACCAAGCAGCTGCTTGGGGATAAAGCTTCAGTGCCGTGCGGATATCTAATTCATGTTCTGCGATGGTTGCAAGCTGGGCTTCGGGACTGATCTCTTCGAGAAGGCCAACGTTAACCTTGCCCTTTTGATCCTCAACATCCTCACGATGAGACGCCATGTTCGGCTTGCTGGACATGGGGAAAGTTGAGTGCACAGATGGGCGATGAGATAAAGCCGATTGAAGGGCAGACAGAAGCGGCGTGCGACTGTCAACAGCTTCATCTATTCCAAAGCAAACAATTCACTTTCCGTCAGAACAAATGAGGACGGCATGAGGTCAACAGGACAATAGGCAGCTAATAAACCTGCCCCGCCTCTACTCACCGTAGCTGATATTTGAATCCAACATCTTCACGGCTAAAAGGAAGTAAGTGGGTGATAAAACCAGCAAATATCATTCCATACAATAGGTTCCCCGCACTACACATACCTGGCGCGTCTAGGGATCTTCAGAATGTATCCTGGACTGTGAACGCTGTCACGATAGCATCGGCAAACCCCTCGCCTCAACCAGGTACCTACTGGCCGATCAACATAAAAGATAACTGTGGTTTAATTGATGTTGAACGGAGAGATTCTGGTTGACATGCATTGAAATCGAAATCCGGAGCGAATGGATGTAAGAACGAAGGAACAAACATATACGGTTGGCATGGCACTATTGGCGGAACTTGGAACATTAGTAAGCGACTCGCTCGCTATTCTTTAACTGCAGATTTAAGGGCCTTAGGGAGCGACTATTAGGCGCCTGCAGCCTGGCTAACCCTATATTTTAGTTAAAGATCTTCTATCAACTGCAATGCAATGGCTTAGAAACCCCGTGAAAAGATAAAACAACTTTACTATTCCAGCAACTCAGTAGTTAGGGAAGATAAAAGACACTTAAATTTTCTTTTTATCTATCAACTTATCATTTGCCAACAACCATGAGCAGCCATCATAAGGCCGTAAATGTAGCAGTTAAAGCAATCCAAGAGGTAACTACATGTTTTTGATACCTACCTTGCTCTTCAAACAACGACAAAAATTCCCCCAAGTTGACCCTTCAGGCAATTAGAAGAAGTCGATCCCACATAAACTCCCCACAAATATCAACAACTGTGTTCCTTTCAGCTGGTAACCGTCAGGAGTCGACGCCTCCCCGCTGATTCCCCAGGCATCACCGCTGGTCAAACTCGTTGCTCTGCAGGTAGCCGTAAGGTTCGTTATTCTAGTTTGACGTTGAAGTGCGGGATGACGTAATCACCCAGGCCCTCTCCGGCTGGTCAAAGCTTCAAGCAACTCAACAACTTCAACCATGAACTCAGAGCCAAAAACCGTTCGAGTGGCCCGAACCCATGGGGTTAATATCTTGCCTAGATAATTTTGTTGCTCCTTTCTTTGTACCTGCTTTCCAGGTATATTCTCGGACCGTGACCCTCTCCATGTAGTTAATCCTCCTTTCCTTTTGTTGCCCTGTTTAGCTTGCGTCTTCCTCCAAATGCCAGCGCCGTCCTTGCTCCAGCTTGCGCGAAAGTCGTGCATGAGAATGATAAAAAGTAAGAATCCCCCATTATGCTGCAATAACGAATACTGAATACTGAATGTGTCTAAACCTCCTTCTTAGGGATTGATGATATTGGATTGGCCCGTTATGATCTTATTAGGCCCATACTTCAAAAAATCGAGAATCCAGAGCAGTTGGTATGTATCCCCCCCCCCCCCCCCCACGAACCCCATTCCATATAACCACCAAGCATAAATTCATTATTTCCTGATCTCTTTTACTAACCCCAAATTCCCGCCGATAGCATGAACTTGAGCTCAAGTCACCACACCTCCTCGATCATGACGCAGAATTATGGATAGAATTTATCAAGCGTGACGTTCCTCGCTTCGACGAGCTCGTTCTGCCCGAGAACCCTGAGAGTTGGTACGATGTTTACCATGAACTCCTGGAGAAAACTGCACGGGAAGTAGATGAGGATGCGGAACGTATGAAACTTGCGCTGCTTGGCCTCGATTCCCATAAGGCAAAACATAGTTCCGTGATGGTGGATACTCGGCAAATGCGATTACCCAGAGAGAAACCGACCGCGATCCAAAGACAAGCTTTTCTCGACCGTAAAATGGGTGGCAACCGCCCCGTTTTTATCTCGGGAGGGAAGCCATCTGGAGGCCGTGGGCTCAACCCGTTGGACCAAAGCGCGCGGTGGAGATTGGAGGCCTCAAGAATACCACGACCGACTGCTAAGAAGTCAGCACTGCCTTTCGTGAAGAGGAATCAACGACTTTGTATTCCCACACATCGTCTGAGTAGCAGTGCCACCCAGATCGTTAACGCCCCACGATCGTTGATTGAGGATTACAAGCGACCAATTGAACAAAACATTCCAAAACCAAAAACCGGGGACCCGCGATCTCCAGCACACAAAAACCTCAAACCTAATCCCCGAGATTCGAAATCAGAGGATCTGAAAACCCTCACTTCATCTCCAACAACCACCTCACCTCGCACCTCGGCCTTGCCCAAACAGAGCCCTTCACCTACCGAAAAGGAAGAATCTCCTGTAACATTAAGGTCACGCTTGGATATCAGGCCACACGGCAACACGCCCAAAGATGCCACATATACAACACCTACGAAACTCCCACCGAACAGCCCCAAGATCAAGGACGACAACGAAAAGCTTACACTGTCGCGCCTAGTTATAAGGAAACGCCCGGAATTAGACTCTGTACTTATGAAACCAAAAAAGCGACGGCTGTGACCATATCGAGCGAAATCTCCGCCTTTCTGGCATGAAAGCCAGACCCTCACCAACCGGGCTACCAATCTCTTTCGCAAGATCCCTTGGCTTACGGACGATTGCATATCTGGACAACAGCTTTGCATGCAAAAATGATACATGATGAAACAGTATCGAATGGCCACCAACTCCCGCTTCACAACAACAACAACAATAGAAAGAAGAAAACACTTTTACATTTCCAGTGGAATGAATAGAACACGCATTTTCCCTTGTGATAAAGGAAAGGTGTTGGATGGTGTACAAATTGTGGGGTCTAACGAAAACGGATACACTGTGCGTGCATAGAGGTGTCTTTGGGATTGGATTTGGAGTTCATGTTTTTAGAAATATTGAAAGATGTGCGTGTAACGTCCGTCTTTAATAAATTTTCTTGGGTTCATTGGAAATCAGAAGGTAGCAAACCCAGTGCTGATTTTTCTCTTCCTTTCTCCTTTCACCCCTTGTGAGAAAGCTAGGGGAGTGGACTCCCCTTTTTGCCTCCTACCCACTTCCTTTTCCCATTTTAACTCTTACGATTTTCATGCTTTATGCGTTCTCTCTATACCATCACAAGGCGCATTTAGCTAGAAATATGCCCATCACATGTAAATATCTAGCAAGACGAAACGTATATAAAGCGAAGATAGATACTTTTAACGATAAGTTTAATACAACAACTTCGATGAACAAGATGACTTGAAAATAAAAGATACTGGATTCGTTAAGCCGTGAGTACAAACAAAAAAGGGGAGGAGGGGATATGTAGTCATTCTAAAATGCAGCAAGCTAGGCACAGAGATGGGAAGAAACATGTGCACTGCGACGGTGGTCAGCATATTAGATAGTCAAAGGATTACTCCAGGATGCAGTTATCTGACCTCCCGCCGTGCACGAGAAAAATTGCATAAATGAGCCAGAGCAATCTCTAAGAGAATATCCCCTCACTATCTCAGAAACCGCATCCACAATGCTACCAGGGAATATATAGTCGAGTGGCGGGAATTGGTAATTTAACAATTTATCATCGAGGTATAGGCGACAAAATGGGAGTCCTAAAAAATTTGGTGGTTTGAAATTTCTTCTCCTTTCCCTTTCTACAACACGCCACCGCGAAGAGCGAGAACTAAATGTAGCGTAGCGCCGCCCTCGAGATTGTATTCAGCTGCAGTCTTATCGTCTGCCCTGTCGCGAGGAAAGGAAAAATGATATCAGCAAACTGGTCGTAAGTAGCCTCCTCTTAATCGGAACATCCCACCCCCATACCCTACAGATGGGGTATTTCAAAGGGAAGAAATCCCAGCGACAAAATGGCAGGGCTGGGGAGGGTGAATTCGCGGGGAAAAAGTTGATTATAGTTGTGATGCCAGGGTCGCATCCTAAAACGTACATCTGTTTCCCTCCATAAATAAGCCGCTGTTGAACCGGTGGGATGCCTTCCTTTTCTTCAACACGCTCCTTTATTCGAGAAACCTGACGGAGTAGAAGAGTGACGCTCAGCTGCTGTGCCTGAAATTTTGGAGTTTGCTGTTGCTGCGTATTGCCGCTGGGCTTTTGTGGAGGGAGGGTTTCGGGTTGGGGGAGGCGTACATACCTTGTAATCAGGTTCGATATCCAGTTTGATCTCTTTACCCGTCAGGGTTCGCACTCTGTTGAAAACCGATAGAGAGCGTTCTTGGTTAGCATTTGGTGATCTTCTTTGCTATTATCATATACCTGTTGCGCTGGAATGGGATGTGGTGGGACACTCAACTTAATAAGCATGATGGCTTGGTGACAAGGGAAAAGGTCAACAAAGGGGTAGTTAGAGGAGGATCCTGAAGCCAACGGCGAAGATTGATCTCCTCTGAGATATGGGTTTGTACTTTTGTTGCATGAGAGGTAGGAGTGCTGGCAAATGGTGGGATGTGTGTTTGTTGATTCAGTGCTGAGCCGGGCTGCCAAAATTTGCTCACTAGCGGGGTTGGAAGAGCTTCAACTAAATATTCAGATTGACTTATCTGTCTAGCTATTGTCGCTGGCTACAACAACACTGCTACCTGAAAATCTATGAACACTTGCTGCTTTTCGGCGCAAAAGGCAATACGATTTCATTCTCTAGTGTAAATTAAGCAACGCTAATCTTGCCGCTGTATAGCTAGCTAATTTATGATGCCGGGCTGAAGAGCATTCCCGCGCTCATGGGTTCGATCTGGTTGAGAATTTGCAACTAAGACGTCGACCGGTTATTCCAATGCGGAAACGAGTATAAATCACTATCTCATCAAACGTACAACATCATATAGCACCAGCAGCCAGCTCATATAAAAGCAGGGTTTATTTGGTTCAAGACCACATTAAATGGCGCAAAGAGTCCTTCTTTGCCTTCTTGCCATGCACAATGGGGAGAGAAGGGATGTGCAAATCCATTCAAAGGTCTCGTTGCCCAATGTGCCAGTATTCCCGCATATGTTTAGAAGAAACACCCCTTTCGACTCCTCAACATATTCTAAGTAACCAAGATATGTAGTATCATCTCAGCTGATAAAAGCTGCAGGATGAATCCAAGAACCATACACCTACCATCGCTTTGCAAGGTATATTAAATAGAGGGTAATAATGCTAATAATGATGAATCCCGAGTTCGAGGGATGGACGAATATGACTTTGGCAAAACTGGAGGGTCCAGCCAGAGAGCCGAGTTTCGAGAACCCGCAAAAACTGCATCGCCTTTTTGGGCATGTTCACCACTTCACGAGCGGCAGCCCACATGGGGTGATTCAAACTAGAAAACGGAATGTTGCTCCAAGTAAGAATCTCATGCAAAGCTTGAGACATACCTTCAAGCTCTGGGATCTGAAGTTCTGGCATCTGAAGTTCCAGGCATTGGACTTTTTACCCGTTTGAGAGAGTTCACTTGAATGCCCTGGCTCTGGTGCACTGTCAGAAAACTGAGGACAAACATGTTCCATGGGCCAACAGGGCATATCTGATGTTACCCAGTTACCCGCTAAAACATCGCTCGCGTCTCAACAAGCCCATGGTAAGGTGACATGTTGCTTGTTTGGCTATGCCATGGATGCGGAAGATGACCCTGGGGTCCAATGCAACCAAGGTAAATGCTATCATATCCGCCTTCAACCTTCAGAGAGATCTCTTACGATTGTAAAGGGATGCGGTGTCCAAGTTGCGTCCAGATATACTGTTCTCCATCCATGTCACCATAGCCCCATTCATCCAGCCAGCGAAAAGTGCGTAGAAATACTTGATAGATGCAAGGCATGTCCGTTACGTCCATTTCTGAGATGGATAGTGATAAAAAAAATTTGCTTCAGGCGGACTATGGGCGCGAAAAACTGGGGTGGCTCCAGCCCAAGTGGGAGGGAGTTGGTGCGGCAGAGGGGAACGTGTAGTGTAGAGGTCGAGGATCAGCTCAGCCGACCCAACTGAGTAACATTATACATAACATTGAGATCCGAGATGTGTCTATATCGTAGTCAGTACATAGATGTTATTTTCTGTATCTTCCTAGGGATTTTGTTGTTGTCTGCAAAATGCGTTGGGAAGGTTTAGGAGTGTCCCGAAGCGGCTAGCGTCAAGGCATGTGACCTAAGCGAAACGAAATCCCACAACTAAGGACTTGGAGACACTTGGACGGAGGAGAGACTACGAACACTCAGGACACCCATCGACATCACCCAGCTCGACCACCCGGTCAATTCAGTCAAGATGGTAAGAAGGATGTTCCTTTTCTTCGTTTGTTTCTTTGGAAGAGCTATGTTGGGGGTTAATCAAGGATGAGGTGGCGTGGAAACCGTCAAAAATGTCGAGGACTATGACTCTGTATACATCAATTTAGCGGTCTTGGGGACGTACTCGCGCGGCGGAACTTGAAGGAGGAAGGGGACGGAATCGATGGAGTTGAATATATACTCAGCATGGGAGCGGGGGATATTCAACAAAACACTTCATGACCAAACTTCCGTAAACCATTGTTTTATTCGTCAAGCGGACTCGGATGTTCCAGCAAAATGCCCGCTTCTGATACCTCCAAAACATCACAAATATGTCCGAATATCCCTTTCCCTCCCACCGAAACCACGCGTCCGATACTACACAGAATACCGTTCTTATCATGCGGCAGAATGTGCTAAACCAGATGCCTTGATTACTTTGGGGAAATAGCGGGAACACATTTTGAGCAGATGTTATATGCACGGATGCTGATATCTGGGTGTTTTGCTAACAGGTTAACGTTCCCAAAACCCGCCGGACATACTGCAAGTCCAAGGAGTGCAAAAAGCACACCCAGCACAAGGTCACCCAGTATAAAGCTGGAAAGGTGAGAGTGCCGTTTGACTTCATAACCCTTTTGGTCATGAGGGATAGGAATATCAGGTGTGCTGATTGCTTCCGTTTCCAAATCCAGGCCTCGCTATTCGCACAGGGAAAACGTCGTTACGATCGTAAACAGAGCGGTTACGGTGGTCAAACGAAACCCGTGTTCAGGAAGAAGGCCAAGACCACAAAGAAGGTTGTTCTGCGGTTGGAGTGCACGGTCTGCAAGACCAAGGCCCAACTGGCTTTGAAACGATGCAAGCACTTTGAGTTGGGGTACGTGACATTCTGGATATACAAATATCTCTCCTTGGAAACATGTGTTCTTTTACTGACTTATTTTCCCTATTACAGTGGTGACAAGAAAACCAAAGGGGCAGCTCTTGTTTTCTAAACTTTGTAATCCAAGCTTTTCCGTTGTTCTGTTTTCCTTTTCTCTTTTAGCATTTGGGCCCGCTCCGTAAAATAGAGCGGATGATGGATTTTTAAAATGAAAGTCATGAGCAGTCCCTGAGTCTTTGCGGTCCGAATTGTTACTTCTCCCTATCCCAACTCCAGCCCCTATACCTATGATTCACCATCGTAAAGAGTTTCTTAATTTCACCACAACTGCAAAGATACTTATTCTGAAGCGGTTCTACGGATAAGGCTCCTTTAAGCAGGCTATTTCATTCAATGACATGTTGATAGTTGACATCGGAGATTTTGATCCTGGCTCGCAGCCAACAAGCTGGCGCCTGTCAACGGCTCCTGAAATCGGCCTTTCAATAATGAATATCGTCTACTCCCTATTCCCTACTGTAAAATGGCATATTCTTTATATCCTCAAGGGACCAGAACTTGCGCATGTTTGCAGCAACAAGGTGAAATACCTCGTCATCCATACGCACCCACATAACCCGCCTAAACCCATCCATCCTCACTCTCAAGCTCTTCAATTCGAATTCCTTTTTACCTTCCTTGCATTCTGTAAGGTACCCTGCGACCTCACGAGACCTTCGTGGATCAGCTCATCCTGAGCGAGTACCTCCATCTTGCTATGCTTTTCCGTGAATTCAGGCATCCGCTGACCGAGGTGTGGAAAGACAATTTCCTTTTCCACCGTGCGATGAATTCCCAAATCGTTGCAGAAGTTCGTTCCCATTTCGATATTCTTTCATTGTTGGATTGTGATGAGGCACCTGAACACGTTTATTGAATGGTAATGTTCTTGGAGTTGCAATATTTAGCATTGCCACTCATGTCACCGATACTGACAGATAGTTAATGACCTATATATCTAACTAGATCAGTAACACCAGGGTATGTCAGCTGGGACACAGCTTTCTGCTGAGCGAAATCGCTGGTTTACTGGAAATGCCAATCAAAGCCAGGTGAAAAAATAAAAGAAAGGGAAAAAGAAAAGAGAAAAAAAAAGAAAGAAAAAAAAATCTAGAACGAGGCAAGGTTAAGCGCGCGTCGTAGCCAATTCTACCGCGGTGCCTATACGGCGATGGTTTTGCAGACAGGGATAGTGATTCCAAATGTGCGCACATATTTACATATTCTGTACATAAACTGGTTTGACGGTATCTCAATCTTAACTACCAGATCATCGGGAACAACCTCTGTCTTCACACCCAGCAAACCCAGTGCATGCCAAGTACAAGGACAGATTTGGTTGTAGTGAAGCAACGAATTAAGCTTTTTTTGTTGCAGATGTAATGCTTTTCTTCAGTACATGAGATACGTGATGATGCTAACCTAAGGGGAGCATGTATATCAATTGCTGTTATTAGGATAGGCTATGGCATTTCTATTCCCATATCATGCTGTACGGCACGAATACACGAGTGGTAACCGGTATTCCTAGTTGAGAATCAAAGGGTATTTAACATAAGGCGACATGAAAGAGATATGAACAACAGGAAATGAAAAGGCGCAGTCAGATCAGAAAGATCAGATAGATGTTGAGAACAAGAAAACAACAGAACAGGAAAAGGTGCAAGTGACGCTTTGGATGTTGAAATCTCCCATAATTAGGTTTGAGCTTCCAGAGAAAGCGAGGAATTGGATATTCCGAGATGACATCATGTGACTGAATGATCAGGAAAGAAAAAGAGGGTATACATGTATTGGATAACAAGCAGAGGATCTTCAAACAAGTGATAAAATTAGCAAGGTATCAGGGATTAAACCCGTTTCATGGTATATCTTCATGCCACACATCAAACCATTAGGCTTGAAAGGCGAACGAGTTGTATTCACCATAAGATGCCCCCGCCCCTACGCGTCGTTGACTTTGGCAGCTCTCAGTTTGGCCTTTAATTCATCGACAGTATAATGTTGATTATGGGTGTTTGGAAGCTGAGCCATCCACGATGGAGGAGCTATTCCAGTTTGCTCATGGATAGTGGAGAACAGGGGTGGAAGGCTTTGCATGAGATTTCGGATTGGAGCGGTGGTATCCTGGGAAGCATCTCCAGAGCCTGACACGACGTCAGCCACGGACAACAAGAAACGGCATATTTGAAAGGATGGTTAACTCACCGGTGTTCCACACGGTAATCTTTGGTTCGAGTCCCTTGATAGCTTCTCCATTTGCTCTAGCAAGTGCCTCATAGGTATTGTTCTGGATCATCAAGTACTGCAGGAAGCCCTGAGGTCCTCCAAATACATCCACCATAGCGGAATATGCCTTTGCCATTTCCGCCACACCCTCGGCTTCTTTCTTCTTTGCAATGAATGAGGCTTCGGCTTCTTTGGTCCTAATAATAAAGGCTGCTTCTGCTTCCTTGGATCTTCGGTAATCTGAAGGTGATTTGTTGGTTAGCTCTGGAATGCATGTAAAATCTCAACCACAGAGAAAGTTCTTGAGGTGTTGCAAGCAAGCAAGGCGGGTATAAACATGCTTACAGTATGCATCGGCATCCATTTTTTGTTTATACATGGCACCATCTGAGGCTTTCATTTGGGTGTAGAGGTTTGCATCTGCAGACTGCTCAGCTGACTCCCTGGCAACCTTACTCTTGGTCACATCGAGTGCCCGAAGTCGTTCCAATTCCGTTTCCGCACGTTTAGTCTCGACCTCTTTCTGCAACTCCGCATCCCTCATTTCCGCTTGGCGCTGGGCGGCTATCTTTCCAAGTTGAATTCCCATGTCCAGCTCCGTTTGGCGATTTGTCAGCTGAGCATCGGCCTGTGCCTTCTCACTCCGACGTTTGGTCTCTAAAACAGCGGTTTCTGCGTCGATCTTGGAAATTTCTTGCTTTGTTTTGCCTCTTTTTTCAGCCTCACCAATTTCTCCTCTCATTCGAGCTTCCGCGACGTCAATCTTGGCTTGATTCAGCGCACCTTCGTGCGCTTTCCGACTGAGCTATAATTCCACATAGTTAGCGCGCGTGTATGTCTTTGAGCCTATCAAGATTGCGCTTACAAAGGCGAAATATTCGCTTCCAGGGGTATCTTGAAGTTCTTTAACGTTGGCGTTGTAGCTATCATTTGAAGTAAGCATCATATACTTGGCAAAGTGCGACGGCACTTACATCCTGAGGCCAAATTGATCCAACTCGTTTTGGACATTTTCAATAACATGCTGCTTGAAGATCTGCCGTTCCTTGAAAATTTCCTCCATTGTCATTCCAGACACAATCACGCGCGTCTCGCCTTCGATGATGCCTTTTACGATATCCTGAACATGGTTTCCCCTGGTCGAGCTCGAGGACTTTGGGATTTTCACCCCATCAGCATTTCCGGAAAGAAGAAGCGCATATTTCTTGAGAGATTCGATGTTGTTATCAGGTCCGATTGTGAAGACTGCTGGGAGCGAAAATTGGAGTTTTTCGATGGTCATGGCCTGGAGATTCATAGAGAAATCGAATGGAGATATCGATATTCGAGTGCACTGTAGAGGTATTCCGTTAGAGTGGTAGTCATTTACGAAGGACCCATCGCCACGATTCCCCTTATGCCATGGAAGAGAAATGTTCCAGATTTGAAAAGCTCACTTTTTGCCATGGCATCACAAACGCGGTTTTCTTGATAAGAACATCATCAATACCACCACCGGTAATAACGAGATACTCGTTTGGTTCTGACACGTTGTACCTGGAGTGTAGACTGACATTAATCGCTATCAGTTTGGAGACAGAGGAGTATTGGAAGAACAACAAACATACATCATCATGGATATTTTAGAAAATATGATCAATTCATAAGTATAGAATCAAGAAGCCCACGTTTTGATATAAATATTGAAACAAACAAGACTGTGTCGTAGAATACGTGTGATGCCTACGTGCAATCCGAAAATATTCCAATGTTGGAAATGGGGGCAGAGTTGATATAAATACGAAGCAACGGATACGTTCTTCATAAAATAGAGATTGAAAGCAAAAACTTCGAGAGCTCTACGAAAGGAGCCTTGTCGATCAGAATGAGCCTAAGACAAGCCATCAATTCACCAATGACATCGAACACCAAAGTAGCATGCACAACATGACTTTGAACCAGTATTCAATAACGCAGGATGGCTAGGAATGGTACGATAGACCGTCAGTGGCCAAGCAAGGGTTGTTGTTCCTTTTTGTTTGTTTAGCCATTGTCAAAGCAAGCTTTGGACATATATTTTAAGCCGCAACCCTGTCGGACGCAACAAGGCTGTGAACCCGTCTTGAGATGGAAAGTCCAGATACATAGCTCAATTGCAGGGGACTTCCTAGTGCCAATAACAATGCCACTCTGGTGCATCCTACTAGATCATACTAGAGGCAATCCTCTGCAGAGAGTTAAGGTTGGTAACATCGTGTCCATCCTTACATAGCAATTGAAAGCAAGAGAGACGGGCAGTGAGAACCACTATTTAAGAATATAGCACCGTTCTCTAAGGCGTCTATGGGGACCCAAGGCCCCAAAACGGATCATGTTGGGAGGCATTTCTCAAGCCCAGGCGGCTTATGAAACCGCTTCGCATCCGCTTCGCATGCAGGAGACGCTACATGATCTTGATAATAATCAGTTCCTTATGATGCTATTTCTCATAACGGTAGTGTCTAGAACAACATATGAGAGACGAGATGCCGTATTTTCCGTTGAGCAAAATAATTGCTGTTAGTGTGGTTAGCATAGGGCTAAATCATCTCGAAGACCAGGCCATTGAGCAGTGCGAGGAGTAAAACCCTTGTCGCTTTAATTACGCCAGAGATAATAAATATGCGAAGGATGCGACAAGCAGAACAAACGGCGGAAAATAATAAATGCCAAGCCCGAGCCAACGAGGGGAGGCGGAGCTAAACCCGCAAAGAGCCTCATGACTGGTGCACGTGATGCTAGCCTCTAGGGTATTTTCCGCTAACAGTGGAGGCTAAACCTGGAGCGGACTAGGGCGGGTGGAGGCTCACTTGACTCCGCCTCCAGCCAACGGACCTTTCTTTCGTCTTTGACATCCAATGGATATATGGAACTTGATGTCAGAGTTGATATCGCATGATATTCATGCACATTTTGCGTCTTGATGTTTTCCTGCTTACTTACTGTCTAAGCCTCTCTGGACAACAACAGCAAATCGACATTGACCAACATTTCTTTCCATCTGTGAATGAGAGCCTGGTGCATTATTTCTCCTTCTCGAAGCTTGGCTAATCCATCATCCCCTTTTTCACGGCCCCTTTAGGCCTTTGAACTTTTGTTGTGGAAATTATCTCCTCTTTTTCAAACGTGCCCCAGATTCGTGAATGGTACCTGTATGAAAGAATTGGAATTCCTACATTTGTATACTCGTTATGCGTCGTCCCCTTTTGGAAGTGCTCTCTCCCAAACCAACATCACCTATAAAGCATATTGATATATAGACCTAGCTTATCTTGATTTAGAGTTATTCCTTTCTTTCCTCTGAGGTGGAAGGTTATATTTTACCTTCGGTCCCAAGTGTCCCGGGACTTTCAACCGCCTAATTAGGCCTGAAATGTACAGGGAAGCATTGGCGAATCAACCTTGCCATTGCCACTCACTATCGTAGAGCATCCATCGTATTTGGCTGTTTGAACTTCCTCATCAATCTTTGGCAGCTGTCCAGTTTTACCCCACCTCCTGTCACAGCTACCTTTTGCATATTAGTTGGATATCAAATGTCTCTGCCAGTTAAAACCTTCTGGAAACAATAATCGATTTCGCCCTGTACCATGGCTTCAAACCTCTTTGAGACTCATCTGGAGGACCCCGCACCCTCGTATGAGGAGTCTTTATCTTCAACAGCCTGCAGCAAAGATTCATCGAAATTTGTTCCCAGCTCATCTCCGTCTCTTCCCCTTCAAACACAGCTTGCCGACACCAGAACCTATCGAATCAACGATATCTTAACAAGATATGTTGATCCGCTCTTATTCTCTCAAGGCACCGCAGGACTCTACAGAACAACCTTTGTCCTGATACCTTCATCCGTTTCTAGTCTGCAGGATGCACCAAGCAATGCCTACACAACTCCGGAAGAACCACAAGTTGTTGGCTTCCCATCCTCCGAAGTTGTTAAACTCATCCGACTTCGAGGAGAAGAGAACGCAATGGAATTCTGGCGCCAGCCCGCCGTTGTCGCGGAGTTAGACTCTGGCTTTAAAGCAAGACTTGTAGGAAGCGGTCATCGATTGCACCAACCCTCCGTGCCTGACGATGGAGGACCCCGTGGTGCGGATGCAGCACCCGCACCGCCCACCGTTACTCCTGCAACCACGAAGAGGTCCTTTTGGGGTTGGAAGAAGGATGAACCGAAAGATGTTGTCATAGTCGACAGGAAACTTGGTTGGAGATCCCCTGGAGAACAGGCAGAAAGCGGATCGGGGAAAATACCTCCTGGACTAGTTAATGTATCTATTGTGTGGAAGGATATATGCTTACGGATCGCAAATGAAATGGGTCTTTATGAAAGTAAGAAAGGGCCTGCACTTTGCATAACGGTTGAGGTTGGTTCTTAGCCTGGGATGGGGTAACAGCCGCAGTTGGTTGTAATCGATATAGATACCATTCTGGTTCTACATATCCAGTTCTCTGCACATGGAATTTATACATGATCAATTAAACTGTCATACTAGGCTTTGTATGTGAGTTATTTTCAAGCTAACCAAATTATGTAAATCGAAATCGGTGTAACTTATCAAGACATTGCTTGAACCTAGCAGCAAAATCCATGGTTGCATGACAGAAACAAAACAAAATCCCGAGTATGTGAGTCAACTCACTATGCCGCAATCAATGCGTTGGCCATCAGAGTCATCGCCAGGTGTCAGTATATGCAGGTCTCTTAAACAAGGGATGTCAAACGCCCAAAAAAAAAATATCCATTTTCAGCCATTTGTTGTTTAGTCAAAACAGCAATGTCACCGCTGATTATTCTCCTATATCCTTACATCAAAGTTTGTTGAGAAAGGAATTCCGTGCAACCTACGAGCGAGATCAGTCCAGTCATTGTTAGTGATACGTGTTTAACCCACAAGAGAGAAAGATGAGAAAATACGTACAATGCTCCTAAATCTCTTCCCGTAAACATACATAGGAATCGTCATCACGCTAAATGCCAGATTAAGTCCAGTAATCCAAATGAAGACTTCTCTGGGACCCCGATACGAGTACCATCCATTCACAAACATACTAGCAATAAAGATAAACACGTCCTTTGCAAAGTTTATTGTCACAAATGCCTGATTCGCATCTTTTGGGTGGCAGTCGATTACGTATGTGAAACTCGCAGACGCAGCGAAAGGGATTGATAAGGAGTGCAAAGACATGAATGCTAGCGGTACAGCAAGAGGGGCGCCTCTGTGGATACTGAGCCCATAGCCCAGGAATGCAACTGTCGATAATATCGTTGCGGGGATCATGAGAATTAAGCGGAACTCAGGTTCGTAGATGCCCTTATTTCGCCGTGCCATAAAGCAAACGAGCCAGTCCGCAATGGCACCGGATAGTGGGGTCCCAAGAAGGCCAACACCGAGCAGGGGAAGGTTAGTCAGGCCCACTTGTGATGGCGTGAGGCCATATTGAGGGCTTGTGAAGACGTTTGTGGATAAGATGGAGAAGACAACCAGCCAAGTGAAAAAGGTGCCGTAGATAAACGTGCTGAAGACCACTGCTGGAAATAAAATCAGTGGCAAAGGCTTCACTGCTAGTTTCCAGAAACTGTCATCCGAGATGCGGCCATTGAACACCTTCAACCCTTCGCGGTATGGCCTTTTAGTTGCATTGATATAACCTCCAGCAGTTTCAGGCTTTTCATGGACATTCCCAGGTCTATGTGTTCCATTTTCAGTCTCGGGGACAAGGAAAAATATTGCTGGTAACAGTACACAGAATATCAATGCTGCAATGCCGAAGGGAACCAGCAAGCCAAGATTCTGAATAGTATAACCAGAAACAACCTGGCTAAAATTTTTGTTAGCGTCCTCCTATCTTGTGCTTGGGTACCATAGGTTAACTGTCATCTTACCTAAGTAAGACACCAGACATGACAGCTATCCCCCATATGGCGAGTTTCCGACCTCGTTGGTGAACGAAGAACATATCGGATACGGTGGATGTCACTAAGGTTTCCAAAGGGGCGGATGCCGCTCCTTGGACGACTCGCATTATCCACAGCGATTGGAAAGACTTATGGCAGCGTAAAGTTAAACTCCCCATAGCCCATAGAATTTCGTGACACTCACCATGGCAAAGTGGCCCCAAATACAAGTAATTAACAAGACCACACTTGATAGCACAAACACTGGTCGCTTCCCCCAGACAGTTGCCACTGCCGCCGTGAAGAAAGTGCTTGCACCAGTGAATAATATCATTAAGCCAATGAGAAATTTCGAGACTTCGTCCAGCGAAACGTTATACCTCTCGGAGGCGACTAATAAACCAGGGGCAAGCAGAGGCCCAAGCCTAAAAGAGAATAAGTCAATACTTTAATAAACATATATCATGCACATTTAATCAGAGGGACAGATGAGACTTACGACCCGGAAACTCCAGAAGAAATGGCCAGCGTCCAGATAACGATATTCTTCTTAACATTAGACCTAACGGAGAAGTGAGCATATTGTACAGCCCATAGAAACAAGAGTTCGTCTACTTATTGTTACCAGTTGTAGGGGTCGTTGATATTGTCACTGGGCTGAGGCACAAGAACAACACCGTCCTTGGCTTTCAGATTGTTGCTTTGCGCCTCGGGTTCTGTTAACCCTCCTAGTCAGCTTTCCTTATCCTAGATATAGCGGACCAGCAGTACTTACCATTACCCTTTCCGTTATTCAAAAGCGATGTTCCTGGAACATCCACAAGTGTATTGTCCTCTAGCACACCCCACGCCATCACAATGATTTCTGTCTTTTCTTTTTTGACACTCTTAAATAATAGACTAAAAGTCTAACAAGCTCATCAAAAAGATGAAAACTCGGGAAGGTGTAAACAGAACCAAAAAAGGACAGGAAGAATCGTCACTGATTGGCGATGCTTGACACGTCAAGCAATCGAAAGATCTTAGATATAAAGAAAGGGGGACTGCCATGGTGGCCAAAATCCTACGCCCCTGGGTCGAGAATATAGATATGGCTCTCTATATCAATATTGGGATTTGCCCAAATAGTAGTTTTGAGGGGAGGACAACAGCTGGGATGTAACAGTTTGGCATTCTCAGGCTAGCTTCATCGAAGTTTCTGATTAGTTCAGGTTGTAGATCCTATATCTCTCGTGTAAGACAAAACTCAGTGGGAGGGTGATATTGTAAATCAGGATTTCATTTTCTAGGCACTGTGTGCCTGGTATGACGCGCAGCCAATGGCTAGTATATCAACTGCAAATCACAAAATCTGATGAAGGGTCGGCTATTTGCGCACGATTGGACCTTTTCTGGATCTTTGCGGGATATGCAGTGCAGAAGGGTGTGGGATGCCGTTCGCGCAAGATGCCATACCAATTAGGTTTTAATATGCAGATGTCATCCACTCTGCTGTTGAACCCCACACCTCACAGATGCGCAACCTGCATCTGGAAGACCATAGAAAACAAATGACACAAACTCTTAAGCTTATGTTCTGGGCCGTAACAAGCTGGGATAATCCATGTTCTGTTCTTCTTTTCATCCTCTTCATCTTCCATCTATGTCATTAGAAAGGAGTCCAGACGACAGGATGTGCAATGATTGTCGGAGACGACACGACCTAAGGCAACACAGCATAATGATTTAGAAATATGTAGTTCCTTACTCAAGCCACCCTAGACATACATTTGACGCGTGATACCCGACGGAGGGATTCGGCAATACCCCATTTCCAATGATATGTTGTGCTGAAACCATGTTGGCCGCCCCTTTCCTCTAGCTGGTATTCCGCGCCTAAGGGGAGAGCAGTGGTGTTCGGAGAGTAAAGGGGTACATCACTAAGATACCTAAATATCTAGTTCAAGATTTGAAACCCGAGAGGATTTTTATTCAGTTCCCGATATCTATTCCAAGGGTCACCATTCTTCGAGGATCTTCTGAACAGGGGGCTTGATCCCTTGGGTCAAGAGCTCAAGGGCCCAAAGCCGAATACGATTACTAAATCACGTGATTCAAGATCCCGCCCGATGACTGCATTGTTCCATGTTTGTTTAGCTGAGATGTCTGAAATGGTAGTTATTGTATGCACACGCCACTTTTAAACGATTCAATTCTCATCTGTCGACAGCTGAGATAATCAATTGGGCTTGGTCTATCTAAAGGGTGGCTTTTAAAGAGGTGTGTTTCCATTCAATATCTCTCCCTTGAATAAGTCCTTCCGTGGCCCGGGAAACTACCACTCATTTCTTCCTCCTGTCAATCTCTTGAGTTACCGTGGGGATTTGACTTGTTACCACAGCTATTTATGTTTTAAAATAGTTCTCTATGTTAAGTTTCCATTGGACTTGTATAATTTGCCTTTTTACTTTTGGAATACTGAATTCTTTCTCTTTGAGAATTCGAATCCATTTTTCGGCAAGCAGAGAGGTGATCAAGGCTGATTGGATTCCTGTATTCGAATTCTGTTTTACATGTATTGACGTGGTTTCATTTCTTTTATCTCTCTCTTACATATTTAGTCGTACGGTGACACTCCACGAGACATCTTTCAACTATGCGTGCGAAAGTGATGCGTTTCAGAATTTTCTAATAGCTGTTTCGACACCCAGGTCCAAAATCGTACCATCTCACAAGTTCAAGAACATAAAGCAGAGTAGGATAGAATGCCTCCTCGGACACCCCTCACGATTGCAACCCTAGCGGTGAATCGCCTAGTAAAGGAAGAAGCCTCATATCACCGGGAACTGAAGGAGCAGGGAGAGCGAATCAAAAGGCTTGAGGCTCAGAAGCCGACTGAAGATGAGGACGGGAATCGGGAATATATTCTTAAACAAGAGGTATGGCTGTTGGGACTGAGATGTCATCACCCTCTTTTCCTTTTGCAACGTATAAAGGTTAACATTCTAACCTGAGAACAAGCGTCAAGCTCTAGAAGAGACGAAAAGAGTTCTGCCGAAGATGAAGGATAATATATCCGATGCTGTTGATAAGCTTAATGATTTGCTGGTGAGCTCTTCTCGCCTCATAGTTTCCCGCGTCTACGTCAACTGGCTGCTGTTCACGGCTCCCTGAGAGAATTAGCATGTGGATGAGATTTGTCCGTAACTTCCAACATTCTAACCACTGTTTTATAATTTAGGTTGAAGAAGGAAAGAAAGGAATGGAAAGTAATATGAGCGACATCGATGCGGCGAAGGAGGCTATTGCGCAGGCTAAGGCGGCCATAAGGGAGATATCATGAGCTGCTCTGATTCTGTGTCAATTATATTTCTCTGTTTGCCTGCTTCAAACCTGTAAATCCAGCATTTTGCACTCTCAACTGGATATTTGGGGGAACTAGCTCTGAGACGCAAGGGTTTTCTTGCTGTGTGTGGTGGTAATAGTGTAACTCAAGTCTATGAATCCGCAGCAATGGGCAAACCTACCAGTCCTTCAACGAATTACCAGCTTCTAAGCTACCACGCCTCTACTGAGGAGTTTCACGAGGCAAATGATGGTATCAGGAATTGAACTGCTCAAGTATGAGAAATAAAAGATGCAGTTATTGTATATGAGAAAAGCATGTGAATGTCACGGATATCAGTGAAGCTATTGTTCGGTAACTGGCGCCTTGGAAAATAGTCCTTGTATGGAGAGATACGTCAGCTATACGATAACTATACGATATACGACGTAGTTTAGTTATGATCAATGACGAGAGTAAACTAACTTGATGGGCCTCCATGTTAGCGGACTCCGTTGATTTATTTTCACAAGCTTGTTTTCAGGGTTTTGGGAATGCAATAGGGTGAGAGATATAATCGATGATTTTAATAGGCGTTGAATCTACAGCCTCTTCGTCTAAATATAACTATTAGTTACTGGCTGATTCTGTCAAGCCGAAGCAGAGAGCCCAGAAGTTTCCAATCTAAACACTCTTTGGAGGTGCCCTAGTAAGGATCTGGAAATAATATTCTAAACTTTCGAAAGAAAAGCCGTGACAGTTAACTTAATATATTTAGGTAGAACATCTGAGGAGAGTTTTCATTTTGTCTTTCGAGATGCACGCTTTGTTATTCGACATCCTATTCTCTTTACAACCAAGTACTTCTCCGGACACTGGTTATTATTGGAAAACACCCCCTGGTTAACTATTTAGCTGCCACACCAGTTTAGGCTGGAAGGACGGCGTACTGCCAATAACCCTGGCAGCGGACAATTAACTACGTGAGATTTACTCAGCCTCCAGCCCCACGGCCCCAAAACAATCCTGGCATGACAACCAGCAGAAAGAAGTATTTGGCTTTTTCTGATGCTGCCTAACTGGCAGCAGCTAACTCTCAAGGTGCAGAGCCTTATATCAATCCATCTGTCCAGCTATCGCGGGATGAGCTCTGATATTTCTGGTGCTGAAACTTCGAATTTAGGCATCTATCCGACTCCTCCAAGTGGTTTTAACGAAGTACATACTTAGCTTGCTCCCTGCAACTTTATCATGAGCACCTTCACGAAGTGCCGCACATCTCTCTATGTACCTCAAGTTGACCAGCTTCCGCTATACGTGGAGAATGAAAATGACCTCCCACCATATGTCGAACAAGAAATTGAGCAAGAAGACGAAAACAAAGTCCAGACATTCCTCAAAGGATTCCTGAAGTCGACCGATGGACCTGAAATCGATCCTGTCATTGTCAAAGACCTATTGCCAGACGAATATCAACGATTGTCGAAGATCATATTATCGGATGCTCACAATTTCGTTTTTGTAAGCGACTTGACGATAGACGAGTTGTCATTTATCGCGGTAGCCATCGTCCGGCTTCTTTTCAGCTCTATATATCTCGGGAAGAATGAGACTATGTCATGGCTATTATCGGAAAACCTGATTACCGCTAATACAGTTAACCTAGATGGCATGTCTCCGTTGCTGGCCGCCGTGAAGATACGAAGCACACGAGCAATACAAGAGCTGATTGATTTCGGCGCTGAGCCAGATCAGTACGCCATTGCAGTAAGTATTACCGTTCTATCTTGGGTAATCCCCCACACCACCACAAAAAAATAAAAGATAAAAGATAAAAATAAAAAAGAAAAGGGGGGGGGAAACTTTATTTATTTAGTCATCTTGTGAATGCCGCGAAAGCATCAGGTTAACTCCAATTTCAGGGGTTCTATGAGTTGCCCACTGGGCGGGCCCCGATTAAACGAACCCCTCTACAACTGGCTGCTGCACTTGGAAATCTCCCGCTTGTCAAAATGTTCATGGAAACATATCAATGCGACGATTCCAAGATCGCACCAGACGGCGAGCTTGCACTGCGTTTGGCAGCAGAAAATGGACACAGACATGTCGTCGACTATCTCCCCGTTCGGCGAGGAGGTGGATGGAAGCGATGGCGGACTGCGCACGAAGCGTCTATGATAAAAGCGAAAGCGGCACTCAAGTACATTTATGAATTTGTAGCCTTCTTCATATACCAGGTTCCGAAGTTCTTCATTTGGACGACCCCTAAGCACCTATTTGTCAGGCCTCTGTCGAAAGGTTGCAAGTGGTGTTGGAAGAATAGAAAGGGGTTGCTCCTCTGGATCAAGCATCAGGCACTACAGACTCCAGTCAGGATGAAGAAGGCCGCGAAGTCCATGTGGCCCGGAATTAAACGAGTTCCTAAAGCGATATCAAGCATGTCGAAGAGCATATGGAAATTTCTCACGCAGTTCCTGCCGAAGTTTATTTGGAGAGTATGCACAAAGGAGATACCGAAAATCGTAGTCTGTGTGTCTCAGTGGATATGGCTGGTCCTATCATCAGCTGTGAAGTTGACATCGAACTTTTTTCAGAAAGTTGCCTCACTCCTTCACACCGCCTTTAGTGCTGTGATCTCCTTCTTCCGCAACGTTAGCCTTATTGACATCTGGAATGGGTTCTGCGACGTGTTGAGGGTGATATTTATCTCGTTACCCCTTAAAATCTGCGATATAATCGTCAATTTTGGAGAGCTAACTTATAAAATTATGGGCGGGATTTTTGGACTCACTGGTAAAGTTCTTTGGTATATTGGCTTTTCGATTCTTTTTCTCATGATGTATATTCCCACCCATATATGGTTCATCATCAAGAGCATAGGAACCTCAATGGCTACAGCCTTCAGGGAAATCAGGGTCTGGGTGAATCCCAAAGCCTAAAGCGGTAATTTTGGAGTTAAGGTGGATGGAACTTAGCAAGGAACAACTGCTGAGCTATTTATGCAACTTTATTTTTTGTACACGACGATGACCTTTTTTATGAGTATAAAAGCATTTTTATGAGACTCCTGGTCTCACATATCGATAAAACAATGCCTGAAAGTTCTAGAGGTAAATGCATCAAGAAAGTATAAATGCCTCTTGAAATGCCATACATAGCACAGCCTTTACATATGGCCCTTCACCCAAGAAGTAAGTTAAAACAGGATAAGTGTATTAGGTTTCTGAACAGTCGTCAAACTAGTTTGCTAAGTGGTATCCATCCTGTCTCCCAGCCTCCCATCCTGTGAAGTCTCCGCAGTTCTTGATCCAGACCTTGTTCCGCTAGCTGTTGTCTCTGGCGGCACCGACTCATCCCCCGTAACCTCCCCTTCATCCATCATATTCTCATCTTCCAGTTCCTGAATGGGCGGCTTTCCATCAATCGACGACGCACTCATCGCTTGCCGCAGTGGTGTCGCGCTGCCAGTCCCAGCTGGTCGATGTTTCTCGATATTGTTCGCAGGTGGGATGAGACCCGAATCTTCATGGACAGCATGCGAAGGAGTTACGCTGTCTTGATCCTGCTTTGGGGTTCCCACCGCGCTACCTTTCCCCTTAGAACCAACATCGCCTTCGTCACCATCCTCGCCTTCCTCCATACCCTCCCTCCTCTCCACTTCCTCCTTCTCATCCCTAATTAGCCGTCGAAGATTCATTCCTTCCTCAACGATTCTACCGAATTGCTCTCTACGCTCCCCCCATGTCTGAGCATATTCTTTGCTTTCCTGTTCTAGTTGTGCAATTTCCGCATGTAGCTTCTGAAGATTTGCTTCCTGGTCCTCTCTGGGCCGGAGCAATCGATTCGACGTAATCTTCTCCGCCAGGTCATCGTAGGTCTTACGTAGTGCAAGAGTTTTTTGTGCTTCTTCCAGCTGTACTCTCAATTCAGCCGTATTATCCTTGATAGCCTGTGCCGTGGACTGAATTCGCAGCTTTTCGGCCGCGTAACGTTGCCGCTCCTTCTCATTGCTCGCGAGAAGAAATTGGATTCTAGCAAGGCTGCTTTCGAAAGCAGCAAAATCGAGAGTTAAGTCTTCGTGGAATTGGTGCCAGTCTTCCAGTTTCTTCTGTTTGTCCGTTTCAGCTATGGCTGCTGCTGCGTCTTCATCTGCGCCTTCGGGAGGGGGAGTCGGAAACAATGTAGAGGGAGCGTATATGAAGGAGATAGGAGTTAGCAGCCGCTTCGTGATCCGTTTAAAAGGTTTCTCTTCGACGTTTAGAAGGCGCCATTTATGAAGCGCATCTGCATACGAAAGAGGGTGTTAGTATTTTAGCAAGTGTAGAGCTGGATAGAGAAAGAGAAACATATGATTTTGGCAAATGCGCACCTTCATCAATTTGATCGAGTAATGTATAGGACTCCATTTCGACCCGCAAAGAAGTTTATGAATTCACCCGAAGAGAAGATGGTGGTAGGTGAGTGTAGCTGCTAAAGACTCATACTACGTCTTTTTCTCTCTGTATATCGAAAGATGCGATTCATGAGTTGAAAGCCAAGCTTGAAAGTGATAAAGAAACGCCAAGCCTTCTGTCCAGATCAGGCCTAGCGCAGTTGATGACTGCTGACCAAGTTAACTAACTTAGTTCGGTTAGGCTGGACTCTGATCTGCGCAACCCGCAACTTGCCCTCGATGGGCTTCAATTTGTCGGCTGTTCAGGTACTTTGATGACCAGTCACCCAATCGCAGGCCATGAAAGTATTGTTGTTTCGGCGGTAGATGGGAAGCGCCCTGTGCAGGAAAATTTACGGTATTATATATATTCATTCATTTCGCTGTCTCTTTGGTTCAGCACTAAAGTTTACTGTATATCTCTCCAGCATCGCAATGACCCTCGTGATCTGCGGTTGTTCATAGTATAGCACTTGTCTTCTAGAGGGACCAGTGGACAGTATGTTGCACAGTTAATGGACCAAACTCAAATCAAGATGGCTGACTTTATGTTTAGGGCATATGCGATCTGCAATAGCGGAACAACCATGCATTGTTTGAGCTTCTGGCATGGTTCCCCACATCAAGGTTTTAAACTCCTCTGTTGAAAGCCGCCCTCTCAGAATGGAGGAAATGTGCACAGGACTTCAAAGGAAACAAGTATTCGAATCACTTGAATCATTCAAATCATTCGTGCGGGCCGTTTCAATGAGAGGCCGCTGGGATCTCGGCGTCCTCCGCAGCAACAAAAAGAGCGTCACTCTACGATGCCGCTCAACCCCTGGCTGCCCATTCCGTGCCATCTGTCGCACCAACAAAAACTACACATATGTGACCGCCATCAATGATGTTCACACTTGCCAAAATGCGCTCGATGGTGGCCCCCCAAATAATTCCATTCAACGCTCTCAAAAGTCGCGTCTTAGATTTCTCATGAAAGAAATCCCCAAGTTCTTCGACACGAATACCAAAGTTTCCGCCGAGGAGGTTGTGGCTGCTATCAAACGATATTACGGCAGTGATATCTCACCTAGGCAGGCACACCGGGCCTTATTGCAGCTGGAGATGCTCAAGCCCAAGCGCCCAAAATATCCCGCTACTTCCGCCCCGACACTGCCGACGACGACCGGAATGTCAAATAATGACAATATTACCGGCTCGCACCACCACAATGCTGACGACTGGCTGCACAGCCAGTCCATTTTGCCGATGACTATTGATTCTGATGATGAATTTCAGCGGCCACCAGTTACGATGCAACAAGATCAATATCAACATCATCATCGACATCCGGGTCCAGATACCTTCCCTCGTGACCCCGTCGTCACCCCAATCCCCTCCTCATCCCTCTTAAATACCAGCACCACGCTCCACGAGAATCAAAATTCCAGCAGTCTCCCTACCCCCGGCCAGGTTGTTCCTCCCCAGAACCACCAGCGAGGTCACCAAACGATTAGCAGCAGCAGTCCACCCAAGGTTGTCACGAATTTCAAGATCGAATTTACGTGCGCGTCATGCGGGGCAGTCAATCAGGGATTCCTCCCAAGTCAGGGGCAGGTTGTAAAACATCCTGCACCTCCTAGCCATTATCCGTCGTCAGTTGAGAATGACAATTCGGAATATAACATGAGGATTATTAACCCGTCGGGGAGCTGACTGGGGATCGAGGATGGAAGTGGGAGGAACGTTTACTCCAGAACCCTCGAATGTGATGATATGGGAAAGGCGAATGGGGCATGGGGCATGGGGCATGGGGCATGGGGCATGGGGTATTTTGAATATTGCACTATGTTTTTTTTTTTTTTTTTTTTTTTTTTTTTTTTTTTAATTTAATGTACATTGTAGCGAGCGCTCATCCTGTCATTCTGTCACAAACGGGAATAGGGAAATGTTCCCCCGCGAGAGCAAACTAAATATTTGTGGTATTTCGACGTGCGCTTAAGAAATGCCTCAAGGAGGTTCATGACAACCGGGCATGGTTCCCAAGGTTAACAGAGAGCAGCGATAGAGTCGAATTAACCTTCAGCCCGTAGGTTATCACGTGATACACCTTATTTCGACCAGGAAAGTTTCTTGGAAACTTTCTCCCCGGATTTTCACAACTTATTACATCATAGGGCTACACGGCACGCTTCGATTGATTGAGAAGCTGACGATTAGTTGGGGTGCAGCCGGTGGCTGTCCCTCTTCCACATGGATGTGTTACTTTACTCCACGTTAACATTTTTGGTCCGTGGAATGTCTATTTTACTGGATGACGCACGATCTCTTCTCGGTTGTGAGAATCCGATGGAAGTAAACAAGTGACCCTGCTATGGATATGAAGGATCTATTCATAGATCTAGGTTAATGCTGTTGTATTTCTAGCATTTCCTGCGGAATTCCTCTCTTGTCCGAAGCTGAAATGATGATATGAGATGTCGACAATGGCGGGAATATCGTGGCTTTGGCATTCAACGGTGGGATTTGCCTCCGCTCAAAGGAGACAGACACAAGATGTTTTATGTTGTGTAACTCACTGCAGCTGCTGGGCGTGAGTATATACGTACCAATAGCAGTCCCCCATCCCCATAACTAGCATCTAAATGTAGGTCGTACCACGGATCCCCTTTAGTTTGCAGCGTCACCTCCCACACCAGCCTTCTGATTGACTTTCCTGTTTCCTCGGTTTGCGGAAATGCAGAGATAGCTACCTGAGAGAAGTAGATTGGGTACCTGCCCGTTGCATACAAACTCTGTGCCACTCCTGTGTACCACTTTGTTCTTCCTCAAGTACCCGGGGCACTTTGTCCGCCCGGAAGAGTCGGACAGATTATATTTGTTTTGGTTCTCCTCTACAATATCGAAATCTCATTCACTTCTCCTCCATCTAAACTCCATCCTCTATATAACAAGATGTTAAAACACCTTTGTCCCGCTTCGCTTCTCTTCCTCGCCACCGGTCAACTACGGTTCTGTGGCCCCTTTACTCCTGCTCCGTTTAACAATATCACAAACTGTTCGCGCATCTCCAGCCATCAAGCATGGCGGATAAAGTCACAGATCTAGCAAGGTAAGTTCAAGGAAACTACCCAGTTTACGATATCGCACTTCCAGCACCGGAAAAAGCCCGTTGTGCAAAAACACTGCACATAAATAGAAAAATCTGTCCGACAATGAATCTAACCCATTCATCACAGCGTGCACGCGACAGAAGTTGTGCCTCGAGTCCCTCAGAACGGAGACCTCGCAGGCGGTGACATGCCACCACCAACTGGATCTAGATCCAAGGAGCAATCGCTCACTGTCCAGCAAGAAACATCTGATTCCAACGCCTCGGATCCACCAACCGAAGAAGAGCTGAAGGACTTGCGCAAGGTCCCCGAGAAGCTGCCTTGGTCTGCCTTCTTGGTCGCTGTCGTAGAGTTATGTGAGCGATTCGCATACTACGGCCTCGGCGGCCCCTTTCAAGTATTTGCTCAGTTTTCTTACAAGATGGTTTTCTCCCCGTTCTGAAGAAGGAAACGGGTGGTAGAATTTTCGTGAAAGAACATATAACGATAAGCGCTTACTCCTGGTAATAGAATTACATACAGAATCCTTATAAAGGACCCAGTGGGGTCCCTGGCGCGATAGGTAGGCTTGCCAGCCCGCCTTTCCCACTCCACATGAGAAGAATTATGCTAATCGTATAATCCGACAAGGCATTGGACAAGCTCGCGCCACCAGTCTGAGCAGCTTCTTTCAGGTACGTAATCTTCTGTGATTTCCCTCACGTCTTGGAGTCGCTGACAAAGCATCAAGTTCTGGTGCTACGTTACTCCCGTAATCGGGGCTGTCGTCGCTGATCAATATCTCGGAAAATACAACACCATTATAATTTTCTCCCTGACATACATTCTGGGGCTTATCATCCTGCTCTTGACGTCTCTTCCCATCGCGATTGAAAATGGCGCTGCATTGGGTGGCTTGGTGGCAGCGATGATTATCATAGGTCTAGGAACAGGGGGTATCAAAGCCAACATATCTCCCTTGATCGGTGAGCAGATCAAGGCGCACAAACCATGGGTTAAAACGCTGAAATCTGGCGAACGGGTCATTGTTGATCCCTCTTTGACGGTCCAACGTGTTTGTGAGTTTTTCGATCCTCCCAGCCGTTATCGATGGCATAAAAGGGTTTTGTCTAATCAATCCACCTCCAGACATGATATTCTATTTCTGTATCAACGTCGGTTCTTTATCCGCCATTGCTACCACCGAACTTGAACTCAACGTAGATTTCTGGGCAGCCTATTTGTTGCCCCTTTGCATGTTCATTTTTGGATTTGGCGTCCTGATCATGGGCAAAAAGAACTATGTCATAAGGCCTCCTAAGGGGTCTGTTATTACTCACGCCTTCAAAGCACTGTGGATCGGATTGATGAACAAGGGCAACATGGAAGCTGCGAAGCGCTCTTACCAGGATGAATACGGGGGGAAGTATAATATTGAGTGGGATGACCAGTTCGTCGCAGAAATGAAACGGGCGATTGTTGCTTGTAAAGTGTTTCTGTAAGCTCTCCACGTTCATGCAACTGACACCGTACCCTCTCTGTCTTGGGTGCTATTCTTGGACTGACAGATGATGGCCAGCTACTACCCCATCTACTGGGTTTGCTACCAACAAATGATCAACAACTTCGTCTCCCAAGCCGGCACCATGGAGCTCCACGGCGTCCCAAACGATATCATGCAAAACATCGATCCCCTGACCATCATAATCTTCATCCCCATTTGCGACCGGCTAATCTATCCCCTCCTCAGAAGATTTCGTATGTTACCAGAAAATCCGCCCGCAAAAGCCCCATGACAAACATAAATACAGCTAACCATACCCGCATTAGGAATCGCCTTCAAACCCGTCTCCCGCATAACAACGGGCTTCATCTTCGCATCTCTCGCAATGGCCTATGCAGCCTTCGTCCAGCGCCTCATCTATTACTCACCCCCTTGCTACAACGCACCCAGGTCGTGCCCCGCCAGTGAGAACGGCTCCTTACCCAACCGCGTCCACGTCGCCGTGCAAACTCCCGCATACCTCTTCATCGGCCTTTCAGAGATCTTTGCAAGCGTCACGGGGCTCGAATATGCCTACACCAAAGCACCGCCCTCCATGAAGTCGTTCGTCATGGCTATGTACATGCTTACAATTGCGTTTGGCGCTGCCTTGGCCATGGCGCTGTCGCCGACGGCTAAGGACCCAAAACTCATCGTAAGTACTATCTCTAAAAACGAAGAAGAAGAGAAGCAGAAACACCACCAAACATACAAAAGCTCTCCATTAAACAGTAGTTCCCTCTGGCTAACTAACCCCCTCATCAACATCGTGTTTAGTGGACGTACACCGGTCTCGCGGTCGCAAGCTTCATCGCCGGCATCGGATTCTGGCTTCTCTTTAATCGCTATAATGCGACGGAGGAGGAGATGAATACGCTAGATGCTGAGCGGACTGTTGATGAAGCGCCCGTTTCGGCTGCGGCGGTTCATATGCGTCCGTCAACGGTGGATCCGGAAGCGCAGAGGAATTAAGAAGTGGGGTTAGGAGTTTATTTTTATTTTAATTTTTATTTTTATTTTGTGACACTGGGAGTTAGGAACAGCACTATTATGTATGTACTCGGGTTATATACAGAACGTATGTGTGGTGGTGTGGAATGGCATCGCTGGAAGGTCTTCGTGGATCATAGGTTAAGGTTTGCGGGCCGTTTTGGGGTGGTCGAAGAGGAGCGCTGGTTTCTCCTCCTTGTGTTTTGCTTAAATCTTATGTTCCCCCCCCCCCCCCCTTCACCTATGATGGGACTGGGTTTCTAATTTTTGTGTCGCCGTTATGGCGTTTATTGATTACTGTAACTTTTCACGGTGGTTTCTTCTTTCTTTATTTAATGATTTTGGTGAGTAGGAGAATGATATTATATGGCATTAATCAATGATGGGGTAGCAGAACGCGGGTTGGAAGTAGCTTGAGAGGCGCCGCCGATATTAGTTCAACAAGCAGGGAGTGCAGAAATGCCACCTCAAACTCTTTGAGTATTCTGCACAACATTGTGTACAAACAAAAATGGACAATGGAACGACGAATGAACTTCTCGAGCCCAAGCCTGCCAAGCTTCCCGCTTCCCGGAGGAATCACTCACTCGCTGGATATCACGGGTTGGCCTCAGATCGAACGAAGTATTCTGGAAGCTTTCTCCCTCTGGATGGGAAGCATGGGCAGGTAGAGGATGGATGAACACCCAATCATCATAACACAGCAAATTTCATTGAAAAGAACTGGATAAAGTTCCGGATGTTCAACAAAAACTTGAAATTTCAATCATCGTTTCTTTTTGCCATATCGGAGCAAGCGAGATATGGGTTGGTTTTTGCCATATCGGAGCAAGCGAGAAATGGGTTGGTTTGTTCCCACTTCCTGTTTTTTCCTGTTTTTTCCGGTTTTTTTTTTTTTTTTTTTTTTTTTTTTTTTTTTTTTTTTTTTTTTTTTTTTTTTTTTTGCGGGGGGGGCCGGTGGCTGGGGACAAACGAACGGGATTTGGATAGCCGTGTGCAGCCAGGATGAATCGGCATTCGGTTAATGATGAAGTTAAAGCAATCAGAAGCGAAGACGCAGTCATTGACAGCCGTATTACCATTGGACAGTATCTTGGTAGACAGGATAGGAGGAAAAGGAGAGATTGTTGTTATTCTCATATGAAAGCGGATTAATTTTGACCCCTCTCCAGCTGTCATTGATAAACTAATGATCTAGCTAAATAAGATTGGCATCAGACCTCACTCAAATAGCCGAAGAAGAAGAAGCTCAGTTTTACCCGGCTGCTTAATCTAGATCTGCCTGGGATGCTCCACCTGAAGGCCCACCAGCTTCGAAACCCGTAATCTTCAACCCAATGATCCAGTTTTAACTACTTATTGTTAGTTAACTAGGCATGGGACGATCATAGGTTGGCTTGCGCAGCATCGAGATCAAAAGCGATCGCAGAGTGATTGAGGAGTAGACGCGAATCTTTTATATTTCAAGTAAATGGCACGGTATATGCGGAACGAAAGTGGATGACTCACTAGGTGTGTACTGCTCTCCGAGACACACATTGGGGAATAGATATCGGTATCGGCTATTCAGTACATGGAATGAAGGCATACCATGCCCAGTAATGAATGCGGTTTGTTGAAGAGAAGAGTGCATGTCAAAGTAGAAAATAAACATCAGCCGAATGGTTAAGCACTGCCACCTTCCAGCAACAGTAAACAAATAAAATGAAAAGGAGAGGAAGCCATATTCCCTTCTTGCAACCTCAATAAAGATAGCCAAATCTATTAACTTTAACCAAAAGTCTTGTCTTGCCAAAGGTATAAACAAAAATCCAAGAACATAACCCCGTCTGTTTCTTTTGGATGCGAGGTATACGCAAGATAGCAAATGAAAGCACGCACCAGAATTAAATGCTCGAAGAGAATAGGGCAACGAGGAATACACAAAATAAAAGAGCAAAAGAACAAGCTTGATGCATGTGAAGCTTATTCACAGGACATGCAGAATAAAAGGGAGGATGCACAGCAGACTGACCTCATGTAGAGGACCTGCAGCAGGGAAAGACAGGTGATAGAATGAAAAAAGGATCCGAGACCGGGGGCTATCAACCCCCCTTCACAACTTAGCCCCTTTATCATTCGCATCTCCGTCGAACACACTCTCCCCATTACTCGGTCTCCCAATAGACGACAACAAAAGCCCCACCTCCCTCTCCAGCGACGCAACCTCCGAGTGGGGGGAGTACATCTTCGACTTAATCCAACTATCCAAATCCTCATCACTAAGCTCCCTAATACCCGTCTCACGATCCACATTCGCCTCCTGCGCCGCCCGTATCACACCCCTAGCAACAACGATACTAACTTTACGGATCCGCGTGAGGTCCGGGTACAGCAGGCCATGGTCCAGTTCTTCGGGCGTAAGAGTGTTGGCGAGAGCTTGCGCAGAGGCATAGATCATTGAATCGGTTACCTTTACTGCTTTGGAGAGGATGGTTCCCAGGCCGATGCCTGGGAAAACGTACATGTTGTTTCCCTGGCCTGGGTAGTAGGTTTTTGTCTGGCCGGCGGAATTTTTGAAGGAGAAGGGCTGGAAGGGGGAGCCGGAGGCGAAGAGGGCGGTGCCGTCTGTGTGCGTCACTGCAGATTCGAAGTCGCATTCCGAGTTCGCGGAGGGGTTGGAGAGGGGGAAGATAATGGGGCGTTTGTTGTAGGTGGACATTTTCTTTAGGATTTGAGGGGTGAAGACGCCGCCTAGCGTTGAGAGGCCCATTAGCATGGTCGGTTTGACGTGCTCGACGACTTCGTTTAGGGTCTTTAGTTGGAGGCCGTGATTATCAGTGCGGGCGAAGTAGACCTTGTGCGGGGCAAGTTTGTCGCCGCGATCTGCTGTGACGAGACCCTTTGTGTCGACGAGGTAGAAGCAGGCTTTGGCTTCGTCTTCCGTCATCCCCTCGTACATGAAGAAGTCGACTATCTGCTTCGCGACGCCTACACCGGCGCTTCCAGCTCCCAGGAAGACGGCCTTGTGCTTCCTCGTCGGGATGCCTGATTGCTTCACGGCGTTTATGACACCGGCAAGAATGACAGCTCCGGTGCCCTGGATATCATCGTTGAAGCAAGTGAATCTGTGGCGGTAACGCTCGAGGGCAGGGAAAGGGTTCTTGAAGTCTTCAAATTGAATGACAATTCTGCGCATGTCTCGTTTAGCAAATAAAACGTTACTTGACGACGGCTCAAAACAAGTTCAGGTTTTCTCTTACCCAGGCCATTTCTCCGTCAGGGCAGTCATCAACTCATCCATAAATTCCAATTCCTGTTCTGGCGTGACCTTGTCGCGACGACTACCCATATACAGCGGGTTTTCTCTCAAAGCCTTATTGCTCGTCCCCAGATCCAGGGTCAGGGGCAGGGTTGTCTCTGGCCTGATACCAGCGCAGGCAGTGTAGAGCGCAAGCTTTCCAATTGGTATACCCATGCCGTTTATGCCAAGGTCTCCTAGACCCAGGATTCTGGAGCCGTCCGTGATACAAGTTATTTCGACATGTGGCTGTGGCCAATTTTCAATGACAGCTGCAATGTTGCCTCTATCTTCATAACTGATGTACATTCCTACTGTGCTGTGAGTTGCAAGATCTGGGAAGAGAGGAAGAAGAGCAATGTCATATAGGGTGGAGGTAAAAGAGATATGGGTTAAACACTGCTCACCTTCGGGTCCCTGGTATATTTCTGACCATCTCTGACAGGCTTCACCAACGACAGGAGTGTATATCAAAGGCGTAAGTTCCTATACGAAGAGAGCCGCAGCCAATCAGCCCAGATTGCCCCAACTGCATGCGGAAGGGCCAGTTGAAATGCTACGATCTGTTACAGACCTTCAGGTGATCTACAACCAAACGATAGAAAAGATGAACGTTGTTCTTGCGGATGGTGCTGAGATAGAGAAACTTGTCGATAGATGTAGATTTAAGAGCCAACTGCCTCAGACCTGTGAAGTTACAGAGCGCAAATTAGCCAACGGGGCCATCTCACGCAATGCAAACGCACAGCCCAAACAATATCTCATAGCATACATCTAGCCTTTTGGGTCTCGTAGCTCTCCACACGGGGAGGAGTAAGGCCGTATGTTCCAAGGTATTTGCGGATATAGCCCGGGTTTGCGGTGTCGTGTGAGCCATCTCTGTTGCGTGTCATCGACATCGATAGCTCTCTTCCGTTAGCGGAAAAATACAACCAGCCAAACCAGGACAACAAAGATGCAGGGAAATTAATGATGAATCTCAACCGCAGAGTAGTCAGCAGCACAGCAGGATGGGGCATTAGGAGCTTACGCAGGCGTTGGTGCACTTGTAGCCGCCGACGAATGGACGCAATTGCGCTGGTGAAACCGGGGGATAGAATGACTCATTGCGGGCAGGTGGGGAGAGTTGGATGCAGGTAGAACCGAGGTAGTAGAAGAACCCCTGGGGACATGTACAGAGAGCGGAGATGTTGAAGAAGAGAGGAAAAGTGCGCGGCAAGAACTGAAGGAACTGTCGACGTGGTGAGGATTGGGGGTGTTGAAGGAGCTGCAGGAATTAATGAAAGGGTTGCTGTAGTAGCTGTGGTACCTGTAGTAGCTGCTGCTGCTGCTGCTGCTGTTGCTGCTGTAGCTGCAACACGGATGCTTATGTATACGGGCCAACATCAGTCCAAGGGGGCAAAAGGTTAAGCACAGATTCCTTGCACCCGCACGATTTATCAGCCAAAAACTCACCGATACCTGGGGATCGACCAGACGCTGACTGAGGGATTGCTCTGGGGACAAATCAATAAGGGACGGGGGGGGGGGGGGGGGGGGGGATGTCGGGCAATGTCGGGTTGGGTGGAGGGATTGCTCAAACAGGGCGCAATTCGCAGCTTCATGTAAATAAACTATTACTCTCTAGTTGTCCTTGGAGGGAAGCAGGCAGATCAACTACCAAAGGCTTGGATGAGGAAGAGGGAGGAACAGCAGGAATAGTCAGAGAGAGCAGGAATTTTTGCCGGGTTGATGCGACAAGCCGTGACAGATTAATTTTTTGATTTATTCTGACACAGATTAAGCCCGCAGTTACTCGCCAATCGAGTCAACACCTTCAGCTGCCAGATGCTTCATGGGGTCCTTGAGCTGACCTGGTTTGAGATAAAGTTAGGAGGTATTGTTCGGATGTGGAGTCAGAGTTGCTAGTAAACTACGTGCTACTCCGTATATACAACTACTAACTACGACGCTTTGGAGTATATAGTTTTCTTTTCGTTCGTTCCCTTTTAAAGAGCTGTTCTTCTGGAGGCTGTATCTCCCTTTCTTTCTATACGGAAGGGGTTTTTTTTCTTTTTTCTTTTTTTTTTTTTTTTTGGTAACTAACTACTTGAGCTCTCTAGTTCAATAAGCTGTAGCGCAAGGATGCGACCTCAAGGCTAGCAAATCTAGGGCGGGAAATCAAGGGACGGCGCGCTTTTACAGCTGCGGTTATCCTTTGCGACGACAATTGTCCAGCAATTCAAATCAGCAGGATCGGGCGTGATCCCATGTTTCAAACTGGAGCTCCAAAACAGCTGAACATTCTACCTTGCAGTAGTATTCATCCCATTGTTATTGTGTTTGTAGTTGCCAGTCATTGTTACTTCGCATGTTCCGAAAACTCGCTGCTCTCGCGGGTGCCTTGTGGGTCATAAAAAGTTCTGGAACAGAGACCGAAAAGTCCACGAACCACGGGTATGCACTCACTCTGTGCTGTCCTTGGAGAAAAAGATTCTGGGTTCCCCAGGAAAGTTCACACCAAGACCAAAAAGAAGAACCTGTTCTTTTGTTCATCTTAGCTCTTTACTAGCTAACTAAGGTCAGTGCCTGCATGGTAACGGTATCACCCGATATGCTAACCAGAATACGGGGCTTTTTACCTTCCTTTGATGAATCGTGTGACAGGATTCTCTGGTCGACAAAAAAAGGAAAACAGCCATAAAACGGAGCTACATGACATGTGAAATTCAGCTGGTTGGAGCCAACGTGAATGGATGAAGTTAATACGTGCTTCGTCGCAAGCAAACTGCCCTTAGTTCGTCCCTAACAAAGGGGACACCCCCCCCCCCCCCCCCTTCCCCAAACCCATTCGCCGTCATTCGCAGATGGCACTCTTGGTGTCTTGGGCGCACGCGATTGCCAAGGGCCGGGTGCCAAGTTCCACCGTCTGGACGGTAACTAAGCTAGAAGCCTCGAAGCCAAGGTTGTGAGCCCGTGCGCCTGGGAAGAGATGGAGGATTCGATGGATGAAGGGCCCGATCATTGCTTGAGGTGGCTGGAACAGGCAGTCAGCCGTCAGTCCTCCTGGTGAGATGGCTACTGTATGAGAGCAGTGTCAAGCGCAGATTGTTCCCCGACTTCCTGGCAAACCGTATCATAACACTGCAGGGGGGGGGAAAGAAAGGAAAAGGAAGGCCGGGAAAATGTTGGTTACCTCAGATTGACTTGTCATTCAGAACAAGTGTCATTGGTCCATTAATTCTCCCGCCGTTCCCTAGCCACGCAGTGCATAATCGGGCATGGCTCAACCTCACCGCGCAAGGCGCACAGGGCTCCGAAAGGCTAAAGCTGGGCCACGCAGGCGCTGTTCCCTCTTAATTTTTAAACAAATCTTGGTCAATGGGAAAACTAAACTGCTGGGAAATGATATGTCAACGTTCAATCCAAAGCACAGTCTGCTGTTCCCTGTGTGCGAAGGCCTGAAAGTAGTTATCTGCGACAGAGAGACATAGGATGTCAGTCAATGCGACAAACCAATGAATTCATCTTGACACCTCTCCCAATGCTTGATGCTGATGCGCATGATGATGTTGAAAGGCGTTGACTCTTCTGCAAGCCCTATTTGATCTCGCAAATCCAAACCCTCCAATTGTGGCGAGTGGTTGGACCGTTTGATAGCTGTGTGTCCCGATGTGTGACTCGGACACACGACCTAAATATCTCTCCTCTTTTAGCGAGTTTGTCACAGTGATCAACGACTAATCGTGCGCCACAGCGTAATGATAAAAACGGTGTAATGATAAAAATATCAACTTCTTCATTAATCAATCTTCAAATATTAATATATCACCACCACCATGACCAATAAGATAGATGATCTTGAAAAACATATTCAGAGTGCCATTGAAGTCTATAATGGCAATCAAAAACAGAAAATCCTACCTCTGGTGCGCAAATTCAACATTCCTTATCAATGTCTTTGAGCAAGAATCAATGGAAGAAAAACATGCAATGCAAAGACTGCACTGAACAAGAAGCTTAGCAAGAGCCAGGAGAATGTGTTAAAAGAGTGGATAGCTCATATGGACAGAAATAATTACCCACTGACTGCAGAGCAGATTCAAGATAATGTGAATCTCATCCTCAAACATCATCATACTGATCCTTCAACCTCCCCACCTGTGGTCAGCAAGATGTGGACCTATCAATATATACAAAGCTTGGATGGGTATAAAAGGGTTAAGCAGAAGGCAATGGATCTGAAAAGAATTGCTGTTGAGGATATTAGCTACATCAAGGTGTGGTTTGACCGTTTGAAAATCTTACTTCAAAAGTACGTGTTTCAAACCTGCGATATCTACAACTTCAATGAGATTGGCTTTCAAGAGGGTCAAGGATGTGGAGAATGGGTTATTACTGCTTTTAAAGACTTTAATTCAGTTATAACTTCATCATATTCTCGAGGATTGATCACTGTGATTGAGTGTGTTTCAGCAGATGGTGAGGTATTGGATCCCTTCATCATCATGAAATCCAAAACCCAACTTGAAGATTGGTATACACAAAGTAACCTACCAGGTGGATATACAATCGTGACATCAGATACTGGCTATACCAATGATGAGATTGGCTTTGCATGGATTCAGCGCACTTTAATGAGGCCTCTAAAAAACATCAGCAAGGCAGTCATCGATTGCTGCTTCTTGACAATCATGGATCTCATCTCACTGAAGAATTCCTACAATACTGCGATCTCCACAAGATTATTCTATATGGATTTCCTTCACATTCAACTCATATACTGCAACCTCTAGACGGCGTGCCTTTTCAGCAGTATAAGCACTACAATTCAAAGGCAGTTAATCAAGCTGCGCGATACGGATATGAGCAGTATGAAAAACATCAATTCCTACAGAATCTAGTTGATGTCCGCAAAAAGACTTTTCAACCTTCTACTATTCGGGCTGGCTTCGCGGATTGTGGCATTGTCCCATTCAACCCGCAATCTATACTGCTTAAGCTAGATTCAAAGGTCCCTGACTACCCTGAGTTGCAAATATATGGAGAAGACTTCTTTTCGCCGCAATCAAGCTGTCCAGATACTGCTTCATCACAGCTATTCTCACCCAAGACAATTGAGAAGCTACAACGTCATATTTGAGTGGCAAAGAAGGCAATGCAAGATATGGGAGGATACACTTGATTCCAAATCACCTCACCTGAGCAATTGATTGAACAAGATTTTCCAAGGCAGTCTTGTTCAGGCGGAACTCAATGCTATAAGAGAGAGTGAGATTGAGGGTTACTACCTTGCAACCAAACACCGCAGCACTAAAAATACACGTCGGCAGGTTCAAGTAGGAGGTATACTCACTGTCAGGGATGCGAATAGAAAGATCGCGCAACATAAAGAGGAGGAAGCAGAAAAAGAACATTATAAGGGAGTCAAACATGTTGGGAGAGCTTTGAAGAAAAATGCCACGGATCCAACTCAACAAGAGGTTAATGATATATATGAACGTCTCCCGAATAATACAGCTACTACGGATGATATAGATAAATTAATTATCATAGATTAGCAGCGTGGTGATGAGATATTAATTTTTGAAGTTCTAATTATCCATATTTTTATCATTACGCTGTTTTTATCGTTACGCTGTGGCGCACCCACATCAGGTGTGGGTGCGCGGGGCACGATTATAGAGTAACTAACTAGTTTCCAGGATTCGGCGTTTTCAAGAAGAGTTCTCAAAATAAGAAACCCGATTTCAATCAAACTTATCATCAATCTCAAAATTTCATTTTTAGGTCCCGTTTTCCATCGTCATCGTGAAATATTCTCCTTTGTCACAAACAAAGGGAGAAGAAGAAAAAACGAGCAAGTCAATCCCGCCACCTCACATCGCATCATGACTACTGCGGACAAATCTCAAGTGCCCATCGCGCGCAACACCTTTTAAAGTTTTCTCCTCAGCTGCACGAACAGCGCCCAAACTGGCATTCATTTGCTAGTACCAGCACACGCCCACGTTAAACTCCGATACGGGTGCTGAGGGTCCAGATGTTCACCAGGACATCCTCCGCGAGGACGACATCTATGTTTACGCAAATGTAGATGCACAGTACATCCCATGAATATGTCCGGTTCCCCATGATAATGGCAGAAATGCCCAAGCGCAATGACTCAATCTGTTGCCTCTTTCCTACGTGCGCTCGTGGTCGAAGGGCCATTCACCACCACGACACAGCGTTGAGGGGCCGGGTATCCTGCTTATTGATGGAGATTGAGAGGATTCATGGAGACGAACCGCAACTGGGGCACTTTATGCTGATGGCAATCTTGCCGCCAGGCAATGACCCACAACTGCCGCTTTTCTGGTCTGATGTTGGATATCCGCTGGGCATATCAATCCTGGACGAAGCCATACATGCACTAGCAGATTTCTTTTCGTCTTATTCTTGTTCCTTTTTTTTTAATTTAAGTTTAATTTAATATATATATATATATATATATATATTTAGATTTTCTGATGATACGCTGATTTCTTCATAGTCAGGAGCTGATGTTATTGCATTATTATGCGGAGCATTTAAGGCCGCCTAATTGCCCAATTCTGTATAGAAGACTTCGTCCTGCACGACAATATGGTCACTTAGGATACCCGTCGCAGAAGAAAAAGCCTTCACAGGCTTAGAAGTAGCTTTACGATCAGCTAGGCTATTAGTTTCTGCAGAGAGCAGTATGTAGAGATCCGTTTATAGGTAGGTCAATTCATGATACATGAACAATTGCCGGGTTCGTCCGGATATAAACCCCCTGTCTATGAAAGGTTCTTTGACACAGCGTACCATGTTTCAAGCAGACATTGGTTCGGAGCAATGTCCATCAATCATTAATTTGTAGGCGGACTGGCGGACTTTGCGTGAAGGCATCCAAGTCAGAAGCATATATTGTGAGGGAGACCCTGATATAAGATGACGTCTGCTGCGTGTAAAATTTAGGCTAAAGAAATTGAATACGGTAACTAACGATCATTTGAATGCGCTCCCAAGAAAACAGGGAGATATCCTTTGAAAACGACATCGACTGTAGTATACGTGGAACCAGGAGCCTGATTTTTCCTACATTCGCAGAAGCATTTGGAGGTTGGTTGAGTGTTGGTGAGGCATAAATACAATATGTTCATGAGCGAAGTTTGGAAGTTCCAGAAGCCTGCATATGTAGTCTTTCTTGGCTGACATTTCTGGCAATCTTTGCACCTCCAACTTCATCCATCCGACATCGTCCATCTTCTCTTTGCAACCAGGCTACCACTGTGACAGTCTGGTCTAACGCTTGCTAACTCGCCATTGATCTCCTGGTAGTCTCAATTCTTACCTGCTTGACGTCAAAAAGGCAGCAAGCCATGTGGTCCTGTTGCAAACCGAGGAATGCTACCGCCGGCGAAACCCGGCCTCTTCTGCCTCAACATCGCCGTGGTTATGACGACGACACAGTCCTGCAGCGTCAGCTGCACGAAAAACTGCATTCCTACCAGATGATCAAGGCCCTTTCCAGTGGTTTTATGCCATCAACAAACCAGATCGTCTCCAACCTCCGTGTTCTCCTGGCATCTAGCCTCCTCAACCCGGGACCCCTTGCTGTTGGGAACACGAGTCGCGAACTTACTACGGACGTTAAAATTTGTATACGTCTATTTATCGACCTTTTGCAAGAAAGGAATGGTGAAAATCAGCTACAAGATGCCATTTGGCAGCTGTCCAAGTCGAAAGTTTTGCTCGATACCGAGAGTCTGGCATCCAGGACATCACAATCAAAGGCCCATGCAGACGCCACCGCCGGTAATTCAACAATGTTTTTTTCATGATTGCTCACCCACTGGTCGATTCTGCTGATACCTCAATTAGCTCGTGAGTGTATACGAACGGTCTTTAGCCTATTGCTCATCAACGCCGACTTCCGCCGCTTAGTCGACGATTTGGCTACCATTGGACGGATGGTATTTGCGGATACTGCATCTGCGCTGTCGTTAGCAGCTGCGGAAGCTGCGGTAGAAGTGCAACCTACAGACGAAGAGAGAGCTAACCTCAAACCCAGAAGTTCAGAGAGAAACGAAGCACCGTCGTCCGAGCATATACACGAAGGCCTAGAACATGTCTCCAGAGTTGCGGGGGAAGTTGTGGGTGAGACTGGGAAGGCTGCTGTGCACAGTGTGGAGGAGACTGTGTTTGGTTCATACAAGAATACATTGCTCTACAGGATGAAGAGAGCAGTTGTAAACCTTCGCGAAAGAAAGGACTATGCCAGCTCTGTATCCACAATCACTCAATTAATTAAGCGCTACGGGGTTATATATTCCCGCGTACTCGATGAAACGGCCAGTGCTGCGGAGGAAGATTTTGAGCCAAATGCCGAACTCAAGCAAGGAGTGCGAAGCTTGTGGAGGTTCCTTGAATCCTTTGGTGACCGCGACGAATGGGAGCTTGTGGAAAGTAAATTCAATGTTGTGGTTAAGCATTTCGAGGAAGACCCTGAACTTGAATCCTTGCTCCAAGATATTGGGGACTTGATCTACGGTCTCATGATGAACCCTGTCTTCTATGATTCGGCAGACGAGACATTTGAAGTTCTGAAACAAAAATCTAGCGACATCGGTTTAGATTCTACCTTTCGCCAGGATATTGATGCTTTTCTAAAGCAATTACGTCGTGCCTTGGCTTCAGTGGCGAAAGATCGAACGGTAGCCAAATTCCTCTCTGCCATCAAAAAGCTTGGTAGCAACTTATCCCGAGCCTTCAACGAGAAAGCCCCTAGGGTCTCAGAAGATGCCCTCAATGTTTTCCTACCTACGTTGATCCGTTCCATTCAGCGTATTCCAATTCCAAGACTAGAAGTCTCGGCGCCCAACATGGATTTACTTCTTGAGAACGTCGTTCTGGAACCAGGCCACTCCTTTCACGGTTCCTCCTTCTTCCCAAGGAGAATTCTCACCACAACCCACAACGATGTGGAGGTCCGGAAAACACATTCTAAAGAAGTGACTACAAGCGTAAAAACTACAGTTACCATAACAATGAATGGCCTAAATATAAGTGCGAAAGATTTCGGCTACTGGATCCGTGTTCGCACTCCCTCCTTTATCCCCTACTTCGGTGACGAGGGAATTGCCAGCTTCTCACTTGACGAACGCGGCATCGACATCTCCCTTGACATCGAGATTGGCCGCGATCACATCGAGCGACTAATCGCGCTCCGTGGCGTTCGCGTTCACATCCATAAACTCGATTACACAGTGCGCCAGGGCTCTTGGTCCTTTATGTGGTGGGTCCTCAGGCCATTCCTCAAACACATGGTCCGCCGCGTTCTCGAGAAAAAAATCGCCGAACAAATAGTTGCAGCAGCACATATCCTCAATCGCGAACTTGTGTTTGCCCGTGAGCGTCTACGAGCGACAAGGATCGCAAGCCCGAAGAGCCTGGCTACGTTCGTCAGAGCTGTGTTGACGAGCATTACGCCGAAAATGGACCCGGATGTCCATGTGCGAGTTGGCGTTGATGCACGTCGAGAAGGAGTGTTCAAGGATGTGTATACACCGGCGAGTGTTATGCCGATTTGGCATGAGGAAGGGAGGGGAGCCGGGGAGGCTGTTCTGTCTGGGGATCAGAGTGGTGGTGTCCATATGACGTGGCGGAATGAGATATTTGATGTTGTGCCTTCACCCTCTGTGGTGCGGCGTTGAGTGCTTGAATCCTTGGTTTTATCTCCCCTTCCTCTCCTTTTTCTTCGTTAATCTCCTTTCCAATATTCGAATCTATCTTGAACAAATTACATCTGAAGCCAGTTTTTTTCTCTGTAAAAATTTGATGCTCTGCTAACGGCCCTCATGTCCCCTTTTGCCCTTCTGGCAAGCAATAATCTATCAGCTATATCCCTTTGTCTCTATCTTTCTTTACAACAATAATAACATCTTTTATTATTTAAGCTGTTTGAACATTTAACTCCGTTGTTAATATACTGGCTTATTTCAAGCTTCAAGCTTCTCCGTCAAGAAAATAGTGATTATCAAAAATAACTAGGACACTTGATAAGACATAGGTTGGTTTCATTTGGGAACTACATGACGGTTTTGGAGATATTCAGCGGGATATACGAAAACTGGTCCCATGCCGCATCTTCCTGCACACATGTAACTACTTGGAACAACTTCCACGTGACCTCACTTATTCCCGGAACATTGATGATCCGGCTAATCGCAAAGCTGCCTTGAAAATGATAGAGTGGCATCAATGGAAGTTCAAAACACCATCCTCCAGCTCTCGCTTTCGCCGCCTTTTCGTCCTGTTTTCTGTTTTGCTAATTTAACACGTGTTTCTGGTGCTTCATCCATGATATACTTGTTCCGGGTCTCACAATCTTTCGTCCCTCGTGGATATTCTTTAAATATTTTAAGAAATCATCCAACGATTTCACAAAATCCTTAAATCACGGCAAAGGAATCATTCGTTTGCGACGGCGCAAGACAGTATCGCAAACACGAATCACCTTATTGGTCTATTAGGTCATTACCCCCACCGGTCCAGAGACCAAGGGCCCCTTCAGTCATGCTCGCATTCCCTTTTCTTGTGGGGATATCGTTGCTTGTCCTCCTCCCCGTCGTACTAGGCGCAGAGGACTATTATAAAATTTTGGGATTGGACAGAAAAGCTTCTGAGCGTGATATAAAAAGAGCGTACCGGACTCTTAGTAAAAAGTTTCATCCGGATAAAAATCCGTATGTCCTTATTTTCTTCCTCCGCTCCAAATCCGTTAATTGGAAATTCGCTGACCCTTGTTGTGTTCCGTTGTACCTTCCAGGGGAAATGATTCTGCGCATCAAAAATTTGTCGATATAGCGGAAGCGTATGATGTTTTATCCACATCGTCGACAAGAAAGATTTATGACCAATATGGACACGAGGGGCTCCAGCAGCATAAGCAAGGCGGAGGCCAGAGACATGACCCGTTCGACTTGTTCTCCAGGTTTTTTGGAGGAGGTGGACATTTTGGTCACTCTCCCGGCCAGCGTCACGGGCCTAATATGGAAGTTCGGCTTGCGGTTACTCTAAAGGATTTTTATAATGGCCGGGATGCACAGTTTGAAATTGAAAAGCAACAAATCTGCGATGCATGTGAGGGATCGGGATCTGCCGATGGCGAGGTCGAGACTTGCGATCAGTGTGGGGGTAGGGGGGCGGTGATTAGGAAACACATGTTGGCTCCGGGGATCTTCCAGCAGATTCAAATGCAGTGCGACCGGTGTGGCGGAAAAGGGAAGAAGATACGGCACCCATGCCCTGTTTGTCATGGACAGCGAGTTGTGAAAAAACCTGTACCCTTGTCAGCCACGATAGAGCGGGGGATGCCCAAGGGAACCAAAATAACATTTGAAAATGAAGCTGATGAAAGTCCTGACTGGGTTGCTGGCGATCTGATTATCACGCTCGACGAGAGGACCCCTACGACCTTTGAAAAGGAGGAGGACCAGACTGATGGGACGTTCTTCCGACGGAAAGATAATGACTTGTTTTGGAGAGAGGTCCTCAGCCTCAGAGAGGCGTGGATGGGAGACTGGACGCGCAACATTACACATTTGGACGGACATATTGTCCAGTTAAGTCGGAAGCGGGGCGAAGTGGTTCAACCCCTTTCCATTGAAACTGTGAAGGGTGAAGGTATGCCAATTTGGCACGGAGGTCATATGCATGATCACGAACACGGCGATGAGTTTGGCAATCTCTTTGTTGAATACACTGTTGTTCTTCCAGACCAGATGGAGAAAGGGATGGAAAAGGACTTCTTCGCTCTGTGGGAGAAGTGGCGCAAGAAGCACGGCGTGAATCTAGATGAGGATAGCGGCAGGCCCACAAAAGCTACTCCCAAGGACGAATTGTAATTTAGACATATCCTTATTCTTCAACTTCGCTCTTTTTTTTTTTTTTCTTCTTTTCTTTTCTTTTCTTTTATATTTTATTTTGTTTGTTTTGTTTTGGGCAATTCTCCCTGTAATTTATTCACATATTCTTGCTTGTTCATGACTGTCAATTTTCCAGGCTCGGTTTCGTTTCTTTTTCGACTAAGATAGACAGGTATTCAACCAAGGGGCGGACTGAATAAATGATAGACATGGAATATCAAGGTTGAATAAAGTTTACCGCATGTACAACACCACACCAAGGTCTTTTAAGTCCTGCAAATGAGGAGCACAATATCACATTGCTTTGCAATGTCACTGACAGAACCCGCGAATGAATGGGATCCAAGCGGAGAATATAAGCAGTCTGATTGATCAGGAAACTTGCCCCGTTTACGCAAACACCACCCTTCCAGGGCGCGATCCGTGCCTTTGGAGGAAGATAGAAGAAGGTCTCCCCCCGACTAGACAAACGTCGTCTTCCACTTCATAACAACATCGCCTCCATGTTGCTGTAGGATGCCTAACACGATACATTGAGATATCGTTCCCCGCTGCTGTTTTGAGACTGACGATTTGGATACTCAAATATGGTGTATTTAAAACGTCGAGCAACGCTGGCTGGGGGCTGCAAAACGGACTTGGAAGGAGATACAACCTGCAAAAGCGTTCGAGACAAACATTCATGAATGAACTTATCATGATCAATTCTTTTGGCATTTTTTTGCACCGGAGCTTGCGTGCCAATGTGTAACTGTTTGATGATCAATGGGCATGTTGCAATCTCGTCCTCGCCGTTGGTGTTGCTTCACATCCTTCATACAACCCACCCTGGTGAACAAAACGAGGCAGTGCAGATGAAGACCTCGCCATTTGTGTCCCACCGAGCCATATTACCTGCGAGGAGTTAGATTTTCGCGGCCCCTGGTTCTGTGAGCTGCATGCTCAACCCCTTTCAAGATCCTTTGTTATGTGCATATTGATTTTCTTCGACAGTCAGTTGTGATCTTCGTCTGGCATCGCCTAAGATCCCTCCTCCAGAATCGCCCCAGGAGAAAGATTGGTAAGATCACTATATACCGGGAAGATGCAATTGCCGGAGTTGAGCCGAGATCCTTCAAGGTTTGTCGAGAAATCTGCACCGGACGGGATTAGTAACAACCCTGCAGACCCTGTGTTTGCGGCTGCAAAGAGGTTGCAGCGGAGCTTTGCGAAAACAATATACCTAAGAAGGCCCCGTTCGGTTATGAGGACAATGAGGGGTGTGTGTTGGCGCACTGAGGCATTCTTACTCAGAAGCCGTCAAGATGATTTGCTAAATTCTTATAGCATTTGTCTGGCGTAGGGGCCTAGGAGAACACCATCTATTTATCTCTGTGGAGTGCCAAAAGTGGATAATTTTATATATGTCCAAGCCTGCCTGGTTGTCCCAATATTCATATAGCCATGACCTGTTTACCTCGAAATAGTGCTTTGCTCATGGACATCGATTCTAACACAGCCACCAGTGCACGGTAGTTATCCCATGTCCTTTCGGAAATGCAATATCAGGTTACCTTCGCGTCTAAAAACTATTTCAACCTTTCCACCTTTTGAAGGTTACCTTTTTTAATTTTTTTAATTTTAATTTTTAATTTTTTTAAAAATTTATTTATTTATTTATTTATTTACTTTTTATGTAGAAATACAAGAAATGAAAAAAAAGCAAAAAGAAGTAGAGAGGAAATGAACCAAATGAAGCTGATGAAGGCCAATTCAGGCATCAACCCGGCGAATTGATATCAACCTGAATATCCGGTGAGCATAAACCTTTCCAATCCATGTAGAGTGCGGTTGAATGCTACAAAAGCTCCATGAAAACAACAGAAAGCCGCCAATCTCGCATCCAGTAGAGAGAGCCGACAACCATAAAAATACCAACGAGCAGTTGCTGCTGAATCAAAGGCCAAGGGAAGGCCCGGGAACCTCGCACTATTCCCCCTCCAACCAAAAGGAATAAATAGAATTACATTCGTTAAGTCATTCAAATTTTGTTATTACCTTGGAGGACGCCGCCTGTTTTGCAGGCTTTTCACGCTTACTCCACGAGAGGCAATCCCCCCCGAAACCCTGGTTGCATATCTGAAACTGATACACCGGGGGAATTCAATGTTGACGAGACATTTGTATTGTTGGTCACACCCATATTCCCCATATTCAGAATCCGGCTCTTGCGCCTCGCTTTTAGCCTGTGCTCAGTGTCCATGAGCTTATTCTGAACCCACATGCGCACTTGTTGGTCGGATTTTATCGATGCCGAATTGAGCAGTTCGGTCAGTGCGAGCTTGACTTGCTGGTCCATATCATTGGATCTGCTGTCATCATAGTCGGCGAAAATGGAGTCTTCCAACGAGTCAGGAAGCATGTGCGATGGCGGGGGTGTAGAAGAGAGGCGAGTGGTTGATTCCGGGGATGAGGTAGGGGAGGGAGATGGATAGCGACTTGGTGGTTGAGTAATGGAATGCACAGTGATGGGCAACAACGCCTTTAGCTTGTCGGTAGGGAGCATTTCCTTTTCCTTTTCCTTCTCCTCCTTGTATTTGTTGCTTCTGATTCTTTCCCTCCTAATCACAGCGGTTCAAGATGACCGGTTTTCGAAGAGCGAAGGCTTGCTCGGAGAATTCGTGTGAATATTGAAACAATAGTTTTAGGCAGGATTCCAAGTCGCGTTCATGTCAAAATGGTCAACGTGGATATCGTGCCGCGTGCAGAGTGCTCAAGTGGCACAGAGAGTAATTGCGGTTCATCGGACTGGAGAAGACAGCCTTGGAGCTGCAAGGGATATTAATAAAAGGGGTTAAATGAAATGTCCGAACTCACAGGAAACTGCCGTAATGAGGTATCAAACGGAGCGTGGCTGTTCTTACAGATGCGGCCCCCCTCTCCACCCCCCCCTCCCCCAAGTTAGCTATGTATGTTCGGCGGAATTAGTGATGATGTAATAAAAAATGAGGGTGAAATTAGGTAGAGGTCAATGTTCGGGATTCCACAATGCAGAAAAGTTTAAACGGTTTGGATGGAACCGCAGAATTCTGGAAATGCAATCGCCTCTAAAGTTTCATGGAATCATAAGGTGGCCAATGTGAAAAAGGGCTGCAGAGTCAAGAAGCAACTCTTTTTGTAATGATGAATTAAATCCTGTTATTTTACGCCAGGGACTGAGCCGTGTTGTAAGAACTAAACACTGGATCAAATTCCGCTGAAGCTCTACTCTATCTATAACTCGAATGATTTATTGATTCAGTCGGAAAATCCCTGATCACGCCAGCGCAGAGGCACTTGGCATCATCATCATCATCATCATCATCATCATCAGTGTTAACCGGATATTAAAAACGAGTGTCAATATCAGACCCCGTTGGTGTTCTTTGTCTCCAGACCATGCTTGGGGCGTTTAATCCCTTTTAATTGGCTCGGAGGAATTCGTCAGCACATACGCACAAGCCTGGGGGACCTTTGGTAAAAGAGGAGCAAAATACGTGCAATGGTTGAATGACACAAGAGCGGATCTTCGAAAGCAGTGGACCCTGTCTCTTTTGGTAAAGATGTGGCGAATAAGAAGTGTCCGTTAGCGATGAAGGTCGCACCTTTCGACGTTTGACAGAAAAGATCAATATTTGAAGCTGTTCTGAAGAGCAAACCATGGAGGATCAAAATATAAAAATAGAAACTGGGGCTCCGTTGCATCGTTCGGATCTCCCTGTTGATTCGATATTTCAAAACAATTTTCTAAGTAAAAACGAACGTGGATTGGTTGAAAGTGATTCGATACTGACAGAGTGATTCCGGGCTTCCGCAAGGGAAGAGTGGGGCGATTGCAACATCTTAGGACAGATATCCCTGCTGATCTTCATTGGCCGGACTTCTTGAAAAGACACCGACGGCAAATACAGGAAGATGCTTCTGCCAGCCAATGTGAATCAGTCACAGCTCAAAACACAGTGCTAATTTCGTCAATTCCATCCGGTTTCCTAAGACATTGGGTTTTCGTGCTGTTGATGTTTGTTTCTTTCAGTTCCCTCAGTTCTTCACAGTTCGTCAAAAGGGCCACAACCTCCTCCATCCGACCTGGCGGAAAGCTCGGAAATGGGCAACCAGCAATGATGTGTTATTTCTAGAGTGTTCAGAGGCGGGATGTCTGTCCCGCCCCCGGAGGCTATCCCTGCTGCTGCACTTCGGAGTCTAAAGCCGAAGCAATGATTCCGCCCCAAAACGAGGCGATGAAGTCTAATTTTGCCAGGAGGTTAGCAATAACAATCTACCACTTGAGTAATTGACATCCAACTGCGCTGCACTTAAAGGAGAAGATGGGGAGTCTTTAGCCTTGGCAGTAAAGGAATTCCACAACTCCGTCCCATATGCGGAACAGAGCCAGCTAGGATATCTCTTCTCCGTATAGCTAATCCCCATGTTGTTGTTGTTGTTGTTGGACGTAGAACTTCGATGTTGGACGAGAAGTCGCTCTGTTGCGATGGCGGAGTGCAACCAATGCAAACATGTTTCCGACAACTCCAACTACGTGACTGGCAGTATTCTCTCACCGCCTTCCGACAGCAAATTTGCATCTCGCTCTGGCCTTGGTCAAATATCAACCATATCTGTTTCTGAAGCTTTGAGCGTGCTGACCGTCTCAAATCCTAGAAGGCTGGGGTTATAGCACTCCGGAAACCCAATTTGTTTGATTTCTACCCGGTAACCGGAAGTCTTTGCCAGCATGGTTCGAAAACTCAAGCATCACGAACAAAAGTATGTACAGGATAGAATTAAAACAAGCTTACTTGACCCGCCCAGACCGCAAAATGTTAAAATTTCTAATATCAAATCTTTCACCAGGCTCCTCCGCAAGGTTGATCTTCATACCTACAAATCCGACGCCGGACACCGGGAAGCCACCGTTCGACAACGCTACCACCTCCAGCACCCGCTCGATTATCAAAAATACAACACCCTCTGCGGCTCCCTCCGACAACTAGCACATAAGCTCTCTGCGCTGGATCCAGATGACCCGTTCCGCAAGGAGATTGAGAGTCAGATGCTGGAGAAGCTGTGGGCGACGGGCATTTTGAAGCAGAACCGCGAGCAAGGGGCTGGGTTAAGTAGAGTTGAGAGAGAAGTTACAGTCAGTGCGTTTGCAAGGAGGAGATTGGGGGTTGTCATGGTGAGGATGGGGATGGTGGAGCATGTACCTGCAGTGAGTGTTTTTTTTTTTTTCTTTTCTTGTTACCCTTCCATTCTTCCTTTCTTCTTCGATGCGGGGCATAACCAAATAATCGCTGGAAGAATGAAGGCTGACTCTACGCGTCCATGTTGTCAGGCCGTCAAATTCATCGAGCAAGGTCATGTCCGTGTGGGTACGGAGGTCGTCACGGATCCCGCATTCCTTGTTAACAGAAATCTCGAGGATTTCGTCACTTGGGTTGATTCGAGTAAGATCAAGAGAAATATCTTGCGATACCGTGAAAAACTGGATGATTTCGATCTTCTGTGATCAGGCTCTTTTAAGAGGGCAATTTAGATTTTGAGCATTAACTGGTTGAACGGGGAATAAACCGTTTCGCAGGCTGGCGGGCCTTTTGATTTTGAGGGAATCGTCTGGTTTTGTATGTTTTCTTTTTCTTTTTCTGGATGGGAAATTCGCATATACCCCCACTGGTTTTTGCATGTTTTATGAGTGAATGTACATATACATACAATTTTTTTCTGTTCCTCCTCCATTTATGGTTATAGACAAAAAGGGATGTTGCAGCAGGGTTGGCGTTTGGAGGTTATGAGATTGATATACTTGATTCCCTAGGTATACATGGAATAGATTAAGGGAAGACATATTGTCTTCTTAACAAGTTTCCCATTTCCATATTCAAACTACAACTGCTGTAGTTACACTAACCTCCAAAAAGGTACCGGTTACCGGTCACAGGGCACAAATGAAACATGTCCCACCTTCTCTCATTCAATTCTCTACAAGCACACCTCTTCTGCCATTCTCTTAAAAAATAACAGCCATGAAAAAGGAACTGTCCAAAGATTACCTATCCATTCATAGATGGAATTGCCCAGATAAAGAACAAAATATTGATGGAGAGAATATACAAAGCCTAGGTTCGCTGGTCGTCACCCCTGCCCAGCTGCTAATAGGCCGGGGAGTGGTTTGAGCATGGCTGAGCGGACGGGAAGTCCTATATTCTACTCCCTATGTTGTTCGTATGTTGTTCGCATGCAGAAGGATATCCTCTGTTTATCTATAATAATCTCCTATGGTGTAAAAGGATTTCAAAAGCAACATATGAAATCCCGGATTTGCTGGAGGTCAACCACCCAACTACTCAAGGGCCCGGCGTGTGAATTAAGTACGGCTGAACGGACGGGAAACCCCTGTTTTAAACTCACTCCCTATGTTCCTATGTGGTTAGAAGAGTCAAGTAATGCTTGTTTGTTACGAAACGTAACATCGTTGGACGTCGGGGTCGGGGTTCAATCTCTTCGTTGACATGGCGGGAGGGAGTTGAGCCGGGATAGTTATGTTGCAAAGTAACTAAATCAGTTAGTGTTCCGAAACTCGAGTAAGAAGGCGAGGAACAACATCAGGGAGAGCAAACTATCGTGGGTATAGCAGTAAGGATTAGCATTGAGTGAAAGGATATATGTTATATTTAAGAGTATGTCTTGCAGGCATTCAGGATCTAAGGAGACTGTAAACTTATGCACCTGAAAGAGGAAAAAACGTTGGGACATGAGACATCATCACCACCCAAGACCAAGTCGTGATAAGACAGACAGGAAACATTAACCTTGCAGTGCAATGCAGTGTAAAAAAGAATGCCTGCAGCATATTAACCGAATGGACAATCTATTTAAAATTCCACCCAGCAGAAGAATACAAAGAAATTTTCAAGAAAAAAAAAAAAAAAAATCACAACCTAATGTATGCCCAGCCCAATTTGTCATGCATTCGCTTTCCGTGTAATGCCCAAACAACGCCATTTCCCATGAACAATACCCCCAGCCCCTCCCTCGCCGCCCGCACCCTTCCCACCACGGAAACTCCCAGCGCGAGAAACACTATGCTCATTCCACCTCCATTTCGTTTTCGCAGCTTGCCGATGCTTTTCATTGTTACGACAGCTAGGGCCACCCCCGTCATCCTCAGGCACATCCATTCTAAACCGTCTCACGCTGCCGTCGCACATACCCTTCCCTCCTTTCCCTTCTTCAAAAAACGGCATCCGACTTCCGCCAGATTGGAACCAGCTGGGCGCTAATTTCCGCCACATGCCGCGCACCCCACGCATTGAGCGGTCGATCTTTGCGTACTCTCGTCTGCGGGTAGAAGGGGACGTCCAGTCAATAACTGTGGCGGGCATGGGTCTGTATATTGCCAGATCATCTTCTGATTGCAAATTGCCTTGGGATGAAGAATGGCGCATGACGTTCGGGCTCCAGTGGCGGTGGTGCTGGGTAGCAGGGACGGCCTGTCTAGGTCCATCAGAGAATGTTGGAGAGATAGGAGAGAGGGTTTCTGAGCGAAGAAGCGGGGAGTAGGATTGGGAGGCTTTACGGAAGGGTTTGCTTGTTTGCCGTGGCGTCAGCTTGTTTCGCACGGCGATGATATCTGCTGCCGTGGAATGCGATCGATGAAGCTTTGACTTGCGCGTCGAAGTAGAAGAAATCCCCCCGGCAGCATTGGGTTTTGAATCGTGGTGACCCATTCCCGCTTCTGCGTCAGATTCACCCATGCTGGGTTCAAATAAACGACAACTGTTCCGATGGAGTGATACAAGATCCTCTCGTTTCTTGCTCAAGACCGAGTCCCCCTGAACTGAAGTGGAGGAGTAAATTTGAGACCAAGGTCCAGTCTTATGATGGACTTGCTGCTTTGACCTACGACGGATCATCGAAGATGATCTCGATGAACGGCGTCTGCCCGTGGAATATGAAGATGTTCTGGATAGACTGGTGCTTGGTTTCGATTTCTTGTGTGCATGATTCTTGGAGGGGGACGATGTGTTCTGTTGTCCTGCTGGGTTGGTTGAACATTTGATCAAGCACCGCGACTCCTCAGAACCCGTTTCATTGCTCATAGCGGAAAAGGTGCTCCACGGGCTCAACGGGCCTAACTCTGATATTGCTGGAGAAAGACTCTGGTGCAAGGCGGCATCGGTAAGCTCGATGGCTGAATAGAATGTTTTGGGATCGGGGCCAATACTGAAACAGGATGCGGTTGATTCCGATGGATTGGCGTAGTGCGTAGACAGGGAGGCATTGGCGGTGCTGTCGTCTTGTGAAAGTGAAGGAATGTAGAGAAAAGGAGAAGTGACTGCGTCCTCATGCATATGTATAAGGGGAAGTCGTTGCTGTTGGAGAGCCAAGGGACTATTTGTTTGTTGGCATGTGAGAGTATCCATGCTTAGTCAAGCCTTTTTTTACGGCTATATATGGGCTTTTGATATACGAGATGTGAGATGTGAGATGTCAGATGCCAATGCAGATTGCCGGGCAGGGTGAGCTGCAGCGACGTTATTAGTGGGAAGTTGTCTTGGGGTGAGCTATGAAGATAACCATCACATGTCGCAGGAGATTCATTCATCAGACGTAACGTACCAAGTAAGTAAAGGCACGCGCGCCGTGTCAAGTTCCAAGGCTTGGAACGAGACCACGAGATATCAGCCACGTTGATGTCGGCTGTAGCTCGACGCCCCGTACTTATGTATCACTCTTAGCCCTGTGCTGTGGATGAGCGTAGAGCGTTGGTGAAAAACGACCTCTCTGCTTCCGAAAGGCTGCCAGCAGTCTGCCAGCAGTGGGGTGGGCAGGAGTATGAGAGAGAGTATATATTTATCGATGCACAACAAAGGAATGCATGGGAACTGAGAAGCTGAGAAGCTGAGATTCAGGTGCAGAGATTCAGATCTTCCTGTGTTGGGCACCTGGCCGTGTATGGCGAAGCAGTGAGAGAAAGGGTATATAGAGAGCGAAACTGTGGACGGAAAATATCCAAGCAATGAAGCTGTGCTCCGCCGTAGGTCACTCTCTCTCTTATGTGGAATGAGACCCAAGTCTAAATGCGCAACAAACAACCCCGCAAGAAAAGGAACAAAATCGGCTCTCCCACAGAACGGACAACGGATATCCTGAGGAGTGGTCGCAAAAAAAAAAAAAAAAAAAAAAAAAAAAAAGGTTCTCCTTGCATACAACGGCAGCCTCTAGTGAGTGGGGGAGGGGGAGGGTGAGGGGTGCAATGCAGGGGGGCGGGGTCTGGTGATGAGATAGATATATATATGATCATATATCACAGTTCAAGGAAAACTAAAAAAAGTCTACGAGTTTGATTTATACTCTGCATCAACTACGGAGTACGGATACTTGGGTAAGTAGATATAGAGATGCCCGAATGTCAACAAAAAACAAACAAACAAACAAACAAACAAAAACAAAACAGGGAGCAAAAGGGAGCAAAGAGATCTGTCCCACAAACGAGATATAAAATTAGAGAACTGTCAGACAATTTTTCTGACGAAGGGTCTCCGGTTTAATTTGACCCCATTATATTTGCTTCAACCGCAAAGGCCCATCACCGACTGATTCGATGGAACTGTGCACCCACCGAAATCGCCAGTTGCCGCCAGCAAGTTGATTAGTAGTTAACTAGCTATGGAACCAAATGTTACCTTGGACCCTGTTGGCCTGGCTGCGGGGCACCACGGTATGCGCCCGCAAACAAACTGCTTCCATCATCGCTCCACATGACTGGCCGCAGCAGCCAGCAAAAATAAATAAAATGATAAGAAGCACAAAAACGAGAAGAGAAAAAAAAAAAAAAGAAAAAAAAAAGGGAGCAAGGGCCTTGGCCTGCCCTGGGGTGAAATAAGTGTGTGAGGTTGTTTCACGAACGATCCACTCTTCAACCTCGCCTACGATCAGCCCGAGAAACTCCCACATATCAAAATTGGCCATAGCTAACGTTACCTCTCCAGATATAAGACAACTGATTCTAAAAAAAGCACCATGGATGGTTCTTCCTAACGCTGAAAGGACGAATTGGCCATGTGATATGATCGCGGATTGAAAGAGAAGTGAAGGTGCATAAAAATAGCTCCTGCATCCCAGACTCTCTCTACAAGCCCACCAACCTCCTTACAGAGTCTGGCGAAGATGTTTCTTCCCCACTGTTAAAAGTACGGGCCAGGGGTGTGTCCCCAGCGGGATATGGTTTGGTCCATGTATCCATCGTTGACCAATGGAACACTCTTTGACGTCCAAATAATGATGGCACCAACCTTGTTCTACCCAAGAAACAAGCATGGAATAGGAAAGATATTCCGCTGTGCCGCCCATGCAGGAACTGTAATTAGTCCTCCTTACTGCGTACTCCTTGTTTGAACGATGCGTCAAGGAGTACACAGTTGTGCCCCCTTCCGGAGGTGCATTGGCACAGGCAGAAGTGGATACCCAGTTACACACTAATTACAGATCAGGCTTAAACCAGCCACACCGCCAGTTAAAAGATGTAGATGGTTTGGGTGTTGCAGGTATCCAAGAGAGCGGTCACCAAGGGCCCGGGTATCGGGGAGGAGGACGTTGAGAAATTGACGGGAATGTATGATTTTTGGCACTCGCCATCTGCAGTTTTCGATTCGAGATGCACATGGATGAGAACGGCGGCGGTTAACTAACTATAACGCTGGAGGCGAAGCCAATTCGGGTGCTGTGCCTTGTGATGCTACAACAGAATGGGGATTTCGCAAATCGCTGACTTCGATGGCCCTCTAACTACCCGAAGATTATTCTCCACTGGCTGCCAGTCCGTTTAACGGTTCAGGCTATGCTGATGGAGTCGCTCCGCAAGTGACTAGTTATCGTATTTGACATTTCATTGCTTTCAAAGCACAGTGTGGGTGACTTTGGATTTGAACAGCGGGGAACGATACCGATAAGCTCGGGAGTAATCATGATAGTCACTCCCTGTGCCTCTCCCGTGTCAATGCCCCCAACCACTCCAATCAGGAGTATTCTCCCCCTCGTTCAGCAAGAGAGCAATCGCGGGGGTTAATCACTCTTCAATGCTGTGGCTGAACGGTCAGACCGTCAACTATTTTGTTCTTCATCCAACCATTGAACAATAATGATAACGATATCCTTCAGCACGAAAACTGCTGTGCTCGCGATATCCAACGTATTTCTGTTCAAGACGCATGATGGATGATGTTAATGGCATTCAGATTAGCTTCGGCTTGCGAGAGTTAACCACCCCATTTTCGGCATTTACAGAAGAAATATTGCACACAACACTCCATCCTTTCGTTCTCCTATATCATACATGCTGCTAATCTATCCACCAATTCGTGTTCCTCAACAAAGTCGATGGTGAAGACATTTCTCAGAACACATGTCTTATTCACATCGATTGCATCTTCCACATTCCGCCATTCCATATCTCGCAGTCAACATCATGATCCTGACATTTTTGAAAACTTTCTGCAACTTGATGTCCAGGAAATGGAAATTGCCCTGATCCACCACTTGCCTGTAGTTTCCCGAGTAACCCTTGTTCCCCTCATGCAGACCCGAGGGTTATCCTTGTTAAAGCCGAAAATGACTGCCCAATAATCGAGCCTCCACGAACAGGCTTGTGTCATCCCTGCGAATTGATGAGGTCAACGGATCCTAGGAAGAGTTACATGAAGAATCGACAGGGACTTTTGGACCCCCAAACAACCATTTTATCAATCTTGGGTGATTGCTCTTGCTGCAACAATGACCTCAGGACTCTGTTCTTGATCTTACTGCCATTGATATACCAGAAGCTTCTAAGCATCTTACAAGTATCATATGAGCAGCTGTTTTATAACCGGTGGATGGTCGCAGGTAACTGCTCCCGAGTTCGAAATGTCAAGCAGCGGGGAGATTACAAGTAATCTCACTTAAGAAGGCTTCAGAAAGGATCTGCTACATTCAAATCAAAAGTCCTTGAAAACTAAATAAGCATCACAAAGTTTGTTGTACTAATAGTGGTTGGGTTATCGGAATTTTGCAACTCACAACATGACAGATCATTGCTGTGAGAAAGAAATCAATAAATAAATAAATACAAACTAGCACAAGAACCATGTGAGTAACAAAATGATCTAAAATTATTCTCTTCGGGATTCTGAAATCGCCCTAGTGAGATAAGTGGGGCAAATACCTAATCCCGCGCCTGAAACGTTGGCAAATCAGTTAAGCAGTTTTGGTTGCGTTGGTAACTAACCCACATTGCAGTTACAGGATGTTGAGCCCCTTGTTCTCTGCGTTTTTCAGATCCATCCATCTAGATTTTGCATGTCAGTGCTTGGATCTCAGAGGTGTCATTGGAGATTATGTGATCTGCAACTCCTGATTCGGCGACTGAATTAACACAGAGTTACCCGCTCCTCGTTCTATATATATATATATATATATATTTTCCTTTCGTGTCTTGTCTACCACCAGAAGATAAAAACACATGTCGACCATGCATGCTCCACAGCACACAATGATGGTTATTTCAGCAGGGGGGATATCGAAGCGCGTGTTCCGGTCGAAACGTTTGAAATTGGATTTGTGTGGGGACCGTGGGGTAGATATACGAAGAGAATTCTGTGCCAGTTAATCACCAGAGCCGGAGATAAATGTTAAGAGCAAATGCAAGTATTGTTCATTTAGGATAGATGTTGTACAGGTCATTTATCTATCCCAGTTGTATAGGGGCAGTTCTATCTACATTATAGTTCCTCCATCCATTGAAGTTAGTCATAATATGCTTGTATTGAACGATTCAATGTCAGGGACTCTCTATATGAGATGATCTCCTGCACAAAGCACAGCACCGGTGTCCCATATCTCCCAGAGATAGGAGTTTGGCGGGCAGAATATACCAACGGGTGTCCTCTCTGTGGCACTGTCGGGTTGTCACTACAATAGTGCGCGCTATTGCATAGTTCAACACCAGAAGCTTCCGAGTTTCAACGATGAAGATGGTGATGAAAAGGAGTTCTCCGTTGGTTTAAAACACAGAGCACCCCTCACGCCTTCCACCCCTTCACTCTCTCCAAATACGCCTTCCACCCCTCCTCCCGATACCTCAGAACAGCCTCCAGCGGATCCTCCGCCGCATAAATGCCGCGACCAGAAATGATAAAATCCGCCCCCCTCTCCACAGCCGATGCGGGAGTCTGATACTGCTGCCCCAGTGCATCCCCACTCGCCGATAGACTCACCCCAGTCGTGAAGACAACAAAGTCCTCCTCGTCGCCATCGACCGTAGAAACAGGCAGCACATCATTAAGCGCCCTCGTAGCCACAAAGCCCAGCACAAACGCCCTATGCCTCCTCGCCGCCTCCACGGAGAGCTGCGTGTAAGCGCCCGTCGCCATCGAGCCCTTGGATGTCATCTCCGCAAGTATCAGCAGGGCGCGACCACCCTCCACCTCATTAGCGTATACACTGCGGAACTCAGGGGTTGAAGCAGTTTGCGCCAGAGCGTCGACGATGCCGGGCCCAGCGAGCATGGCGCAGTTCACGATGTGAGCCCATTCGGAGATACGGAGGGAGCCGCCGTGGTATTGCTTTTGGACGGTGCTGCCGATGTCGACGAATTTGCGGTCTTCAAAGAGGAGGAAGCGATGTTTGCTTGCGAGGGATTTTAGGCTGGTGAGGGTCGTCGGGGAGAGGTCGGTGAGGATGTCGATGTGGGTTTTTAAAACGGTGATGTAGGGTCCTAGGCCTGTTTGGACAATTTTTTTTTGTTTTACAATAAAAAGAAATTAGTTTGATGATTTGATGAGTTTTAAAGGAGAATTTTCATTTCTTCTTCTACTTCTTCTTCTTCTTCTTCTTCTTCTTCTTCTTCTTCTTCTTTTTCCATAGTGCCCTCAATTGACATGGAGGGGGGATGTTTAAACGTACGATCGGCCAGGTCTAGCAGCTCTTTCGAGGTGGTTACATCAGCGGAAACCACAACATTTGATTTCTTTTCTTCTGCAATTTGGAATAGCTGTCTAGCTAGTGGATTGCTATGCCGGCTCGCCCGCACTGCGTACGGGATGTGAGATTGTGAAGACATTTGATATGGATGGAGGGGTTGAGTTCTGTGTGATGGGGATGCGCAGAGAACGGCGAGTGGAGTGATGTTCGTTTCTCCCCTGTTTTCCTCTATTCGTCGGGTTAAATGGCGTACACTGTATGTAAAGAAACAAGGTGAAAGTGGATATAGAAAATTGGGGGAGTGACTTGGAAGATGTTGATATGATGTGGCTGTTAACGTGTAAAATGGCAGGTTGGGTTGGGTTTGTTAAATTATCTGAAGCCACGGACACAGACTCCGATTGGCCAATCGCACTCAATATATTCATTCCTGTGAGTCAAATCTTATTTGATGGTAAGTGATAAAAACCCTCTGTTAACTATTCGTTGTTGTTTTCGAGGAGTTGATGGACCTGGTGAAATATTCTTGATGTCAACCTGCAATCTGGAAGAAGACTTGTGTGTTTCAATGCTCCGAAGAACAAATGTATGGCTACCTACATTCTCCATGACAGAATTTTGGAACCTTCCAGGGTCTCCAATTCCATTGTCGGATTTAATGTCAAGCAGGTTGAAAATTTGTTCAAATCATTGCAGAACTGTCTTGTTTACCTGCATATATACGAGGTATATCTTGTTGGAGGGGTGTTGAAGTAATCTGACTTCAAAATATTCAGTGCATGTCGGACATGTTGGGTGGTATTTTGTTGTCCGAAGCATATCGACAAGTTAATCAAGGCTCGCACGAATTTAAAACGAAGTCAAAATGTTGATAAACTGTGAAGAAAAAAGATCCATCTCTTCACCTTTAATAGCCCACGTTCAAAAAATCCAAATCTCAATATATATACACAAAACATGTATCTCAATTAACTAGTCAACCCATCCAATATAAGGACACTAGCCGGAAAAAAAACTACGACCCCAAATTCAACGCAACCCCAAACACAGAGAGTCCCCAAAGCCCCCCCTGCGCAAGCCAGAACAATATTCCCTTATACCGGCCGTTGCCATCAGGCTTATCAGACATGACGTAGCCGTGCAGGAACAAAAGTCTCAAGACGACCCAGGAGGCAGTTAGGACTGCGGCGGTTTGGGGGAATCTTAGACCCGCGACCAGTGCCATGAGCATGGTTTGCGGTGCGTTTTCGAGGAAGTTGGCGTGGGCGCGTTGAGCGCAGTTGAATTTGTAGGCGGCGGGCTGAATTAGGCAGTTTAGTAAGAGTTGGAATTTAATTTTTGATTTTTGCCTCTTTGGTTTTGGGAGCGGGATGAGTTGTTATGGTGGTGGTGGTGGTGGTGGTGGTGGGGGGGGGGGGGGAAATGCCAGGAACATACGCTTTTCTTGCATTCTTCTTGGGATGCATATGTATGCGGATATTTTATGCCACAGGCTTTGCGGTAATTGCCGACGACAACTCCGTGGGCAAAGCTTACAACTGGAATGACTCCTAGGGCAAGGGCAATGACATTGCTGTTGGAAGTTTCATATTATTATTATTGTTGTTGTTGTTGTTGTTGTTAACAAAAATAGTTGAGGTAGTGAATGTATTGTATACCCAACCTAAGGCATCAGAATGTAGAAATGTGGGCTCCAGGTTTGCAAATGAGGACAGTAAATAATGAAAATGAAGCAAAAAACATACCCGTAGTTATCTGGAAGAGTGATGGAAACCATTTCGCCGACTTTTGTATCGAATAACGCTATTTATGGGGAATAGAAGAAGCTGAAAATATCCGGTAACAGGCAGGAGATTATAGCTGATGTAGTATTTACTTACGGAGGCAGAATGTCGAAGGGGGGGGAAGGTTTTTTATATATAGTACGGTTCCATCGTTCCCACCAAGACCCAGACAAATGTGCCTTCGGAAGTTGAGACGCCGTAAGACCACTCCAGCATCACCGGTAAGCTAGGGAGAATTCTCCCCACTACCCTCTCTTGAAACACGATGTGATTAATTAGTCCGCACACTGAATATTTATTGAGCAGGCTCAATGACCCAGTTTGTGTGGCAGTTCGCTCTCCTCAAGTCGGCTGAGGGATGAGAAGCATATATCCCTGTGTTGTTAATCTGCTTTAGCATATATCTATCCTGAGGCGTTGAATGGGGCCGGCTTAGATTCTACCCTGCCCCGATTGGAAGAACTTGGAACCCCGACACATAGTATCTCCACTGCCGCTGTGTACTATTTCGTTACAGCATTATTAGCAATCAGCCCTAGAGCAGATGGGCGGTGGGAGGACGAAGCAGTCTTCAACTATCGGGGCTGAATAGACTGATTAGTTCCTTGGAGGTGTAGAGAGCCGAAGTGGTGTTGGGAGCTCTTCACCGTGCTGTGTCGTATCACGGGCAGCACTGAATGTGAAGATCTAAGGAGGAGTGTCCTTTCAACACTGACTGTACCTAGTTATGCATTCCCGGAAGGAAAAAGGAATTCAACATAGCACATAGCACATAGCACATAGCATACGTTTGGGTTGTTTGCCCAACTTCGCAAATCCCAACCGACAACCCTTGCAGTCGGGCATGGGGTTGCCCCGACTGCCCGGCAGAGAAGATCAATCATTGTAGGGGCTGACCACCCGCACAAGTTAAAAATGATTGCCCCGCCTGCCATCCAGAGACGGGAAGAGAAAAACAAGAAGGTTCCAGAGAAAGACCAAGGGGACACGAGGATCCGTCGCAGGAGAACGGGGTATTTATACCTTTGAAAGAGGGCACGAGAGGTTGCGAGGATAGCTTGTCATCCAGTCAGTGGGTGACCCAATAAGCGGCCAGCCATGCTGCAGTGGAGTTATAAGTTACAGGGTTATGTATGTGTTGCTGTGAGTGAGTGACCCTGAGTTAAAATGATTAACCCTCCACTGTCCAGGCCAACTCCGGAAGTTGTGTTTCTGCTACCTTTGACTGAGCTGAATTAATATGGCCACGTTGTATCGGCGACCATTTCAGACTCGGAATCTTGACTCAATTGGGCATCGTTTCTCTGTTGCATCATTTGTTTCACGAGATGAGAGAAAGGAATGTGGATGGAGCCATATATGACCACCTGCTCTCTCTGTACGGAACATCAACACTGAACATTCTTACAAAATAGAAGGTCGAAAAGGGAGCAATGGACCCCCCACGGGGCTATGCAGAGCTAAGGGGAGCTGGAAGCGTAGGTAAGTTACATTCCAGCGCACCAGATAGCCCCGGCTTCAGATCGCGATGCCTGGATCAAATTGCTGATCGGGGGGGGGGGGGGGGGGGGGGGGGGGGGTTTTTTAATTTATTTTACCCGGGGGGGGGGTCCATCCAGGATGTCAAGCAGAATTACATCCCTGCTGGCGATGGCGGGGAACTGAGGATTCCTTGTAGGTAGCTGTCTAGGCACTTATTTACTGCAAGCAAGCAGAATATCAAATCACTTCCGATATGGAAGGTCTGAGGTTCTACTCTGCACATTTGGTCCGTTCCTAGGTCGAATGTTTGAATGCTTTGGTTTTCCCAAAATCAGCCATTGGGCTGGAGCCGCCCTTTTTTAAAACTTCTTCACCTCATGATTAACCCACCCCAAGTTGAGATATTCCTCCCGAGTGTCCAAAAGCCATCACCGAACGGAGGAGTATCAGCCTACATCAGCAGTTTTTTAGAAGCAGTTGTGATTTGACATTCATCGGAGGCGAAACCGACCGCAGAGCACATCCATGTATAAGTTCATTGTAATGTAGATATCTTCAAGTTGATGGTCTCGCCCGTCACAATAAGCTGATACTTGTTGGCACTTGAACAACCTTCAAATGTTGACAAAAAGTTCAATATATCCAACAGATATAAGCCGCTCCTCACCAAGCGCCTCGATCTCATTTTCTTTATTGAGGCCCCAGCGCCAGATGTGGCGGTTCTCGGAGCGCCCTTTTCAAGCATGGAACAAAGCACAGTCATCGCAGTCTCACACCGGTTGGCACCCAACTTCATTGGGATGCTCAACAACAAGATCAAAATATCCAGGAGGAATGTAATTGCCACCAGCAGTGACAGGCACCTTGACCTCATTTCTTTCTTCATTAATAGTCTATAGCCTCCAGGGAGGCCGTGCTTTGAGCTGCTTCTTGAGCATAAGAACAAAAAGCACGACGGATTTATTGTTTTCAATCTCTCCTTTGCTTCGACTCAAATAACCTCAAACTCAAGGAAGATAATGTTGAGAACTCATCGATCTTCTATTGCCACCACCTTGTGTCTGCATGCAACATTGACCTAATAGTCAAACAAACCACTTTTTGTGGTGATATGTTGGGTTATCTCTGGAATCAAGCCATGTTATCGGATAAAGATTTTCTACTCCTTAACCAAAAAAGAGGTCCCTACGCTGAGGATCTCAAAACTTTACAGTATAGTACATCGTACATACAAAAGCTCGCCTCCCTTCGATGGAAGAGTTTATACGCGCAGTTTGCTTACACTGCCGTATTTAGCCTGCCACGCGAAAAAGTACAACAACGCCGCCAATGGCTGTCCCACAAGACAAAAGCTCACCCAAAACACACAGTTACCAATGATTTTGCCGGTCCGGGTGTTCATTTTCTCCAGTGGCAGAGTTGCTGCGATCAGGGGAAGTTGGAGAACCATGCCGGCGAAAGCGACACCTGATATGATACAAAAGTAATGTAAATATGGGGGCTTCAATATGAAAATGAAAATTGGGGGGACAGGCCCGAGCAGGGACAGATGAATGAAAAAAAAAAAAGATTATCCTTACCTATGACGTTATGTGTTGGGATCCCCACGAGTAATTCATGCAGTATCCCGCTGAAGGTGAACACCATGACGCTGGCGGCAAAAGGACTCCAGCCCCTCCCAATCAGCGGAGAGAAGATATGCCGTCTCATAAAGTGATACACGGGCTTATTCCACGTACGCCAATACGTGCCCACGCTAGGACTGTTCCACCACTCCGTGTAGAACTCGCGGTCACCGAAGCGCATGACTTCCGCTAACGCGTTGAGATAGGACTGGAACAGTGCAAAGAATCCTGCGAGCCAGATAATGAGGGAGATTGTGGAGAGCTTCATGACTCGTTCGATGATGGAGGTTAGGTCGAGCGTTGCTATTTTCTCGAGGGAGTTGCGCAGGACTGGGGCCGCGTATTGGGCTGAGGTGAGCCAGATGAATACCGAAAGACCGATCATTTCCATCACACGCTTGGCGACAAAGGACCACCTGATTCGGTCTGTGCGGGGGTATACGGGCTGGTATACCAGGGTTGGTGCCAGCCAGAAATAGGTTAGGTTTCCGATGGTAACGTTTCGGGGATAGGGGCAGGATTGATAGATCTCTGGAAGCGGGGAGGTAGATGAAGGGTGTAGCACGGCGTGGCGGAGGTCTCGATTGGTAAATGCGTATGAGCAGATCTTCAGCCAGACGACGATAACATGGACCTCGCATAGGGTTCCGATACCGGGGTGATTGACATAATAATACACTGCGTAACTCGTGACGAGGAGACAAAGGCTGGCATTTAATGAATGTGAAATAGCCGTACATATCCATGCTGACCGGAACGACTGCTGCTCCGGTGCATCTTCCTGTGTTGACTCCTCACGCTTTATGCGGCCAATTGCTCCTCTGACTTGGTGAGCGGCCGCTCGCTCAATTATAAATGCCACGAAGAGATGGCAGGGGATGAGTGCAGATAGAATCGCACCCAGAACAACGTCTTGTTGTCGATAGTCGTGACATCTGATACATATAAGGACTCCGTACTGTAGGTCAATCCATTCGTCAGCAAAGGAAACGAGTGGTGGGGGGGTGAGGGGCTGCGGCGGGTGTGGGATTGAAATACATACCTTCATAAAATTCTCAACAATCAAACGTAAATTCATCACAACTAAAACGTCCAACTGATCAGTAATAATCCCAATTAAATACCCAGTTCTAGGCTGAGAGAAATTCTTTACTCAGTACAAGAACCATAAGGTTCCGAAATCCAAAAAAGCTGGGATTGACCTCTGATTCACGGCTTAGACAGGATATCGTGAGGCGGGAATGATAAGCGGCGACATGGCGGTATTTGCTCTTAGTCTTCGGTGAATTGGAATTCGACTGTGCGGGTTGCAGAGCTCCATCTTGCAAGTGTTCCTTTGCCTGCAATGGCTGAGAAGCTGTAGGATGGTGATCTTTCGCCATGTTGTGGGTCCTTGAAACAGCTATGCGCGCAATGCTGGCCATACTTACGGAGCAAGACAAGCCAATAGATATCCCCTTTCCCGTGACTGAGAATTTGCCCCGCCGGAAGTATGTGACAAGTGATTCTAAGAATAATATATACAACTAGGTATATATATACCTAGCCAGCTAACCCCCGTCCAGAGGCAAATAAACGATTGTCAATTGCTCCGCAGATAGCGAAGACAGCCCGTTCCAAGGGGGAGAAACTGGAGGCGAATCCGAGGAAGGAAACGATGCAGCGGCAGAGGAAGAAGCCAATTCAGGAACATTGCCCTTGAAAAAAATAACCAATCAATTTATAAAAGAAAAACGAATTAAAAAAAATGAATAAAATACAAGGAATAAAACAGCACTCCGGCTTGAAATCTAAAACTCTCCTGTTCCTTGCAAGTTCTCGAGTTTTGTTGCCAGGTTTTAACGGGGGAGGTGGTTCTGGTCCCTGGATTATGTAACCACTCTGGGGAATAATATAATTCCCAAGGCGAACGGCGCACCCAACCCAACCGAGCGACGCATCAAATCCGATTTATACAGAGCAACTGGTTGATTGTGAATATAACTGGCTATAGCTAGCTAATTAGTTAGACTGCCTGTGGCTGGTAAAACAGCGCTTGTGGCTTTGCACAGCTAGGCCCCATCCAGCCTAGCCTGAATTGGGCCTGTAAAGCTCAATCAACCCTTTTTACCGCAGACCAACGTCGACGCAGCGGGGACTTGAGCTTCCTCTCAGGCTGTGTTCAGTTTGCGGTGACCTGGAGTTTCTTGTTATTGACGAATTCCGGACTTTCTATAGACAGCATATGCTTTCATATTGACATTGCATGCTGTTGTGAATGCTATAGACTAATCTTCACCTCCACCTCGATAGATGCATGCGACAGACTCTTTCACACTCCTATCACCAAAACGAGTTATTCATCTTCATATTCGTTCTCATATTATATCTCTATGCCCAGGGGCCCTTCCCTTTCCTCACACTTTTCTACCATGACAAAAGCTCTACGGATAAAGAACCGATAACCCATTCGACCTGATCCACCCGATCAGCCTGAACTGCCTCCTCGCATACATTTACTGTTCTTGGGACTCATGAGCTCTTACGACCACGATGGCGTGGAGGGGGGATTCCCACGTCCACTGAGGTCCTACGAAGGAGGGGTGGGAGGACCCCGAAGACCAAGTATGTTCTCCCCCTATTCCCTATAATGCTACATCAGCAGCATTGCTCAGAGGATGATAACAGGGCCGGTTACCGACTATGGTTCTTCGATGGTTCAGTGGATGCGCGTGCGCCAGCCTCGATACAAAGGATCGCATAAGCTAGAAAGGGAAAGACCCAGCGCAAGCTACACCGTGGATGTATGTTCTCAATACTGATTGTCAAACTGGATTTATGTATTTCTGAATATATACCAGTGCTGACTGCCAATGATTTTCCCTCTTAGATGCTCCCTCCCTTGGCCGGAATCGATTCTCCTGTTGACTCTATCCCCGTTCGACATTTGCACCAATCCATCGGCAAATCGAAGAAGCCTATTACAGTCGTAAGGTGGACGCCAGAGGGCCGACGTTTGCTGACAGGTGGTCACACGGGCGAGTTCATGCTCTGGAATGGTACGGCGTTCAATTTCGAGACTGTTATGGATGTTAGTGATATTGGTCCCCAAATAATTGAATAATCTATGGCATGGATCATCTAACTGACATTGGAAACCATAGGCTCATTACGATCAATACCAAGCCGGAGTAACATCAGCAGCCTGGTCCCACAGCCACGATTGGCTGATATCCGGCGGCCAAAAGGGAGACATAAAATACTGGCGGCCCAATTTTAACAACGTTGAGACCGTCGACGACGCCCATCACGATGCCGTCAGAGACCTGTCATGGTGTCCAAGCGATACCAAATTCGTCTCCGCCTCCGATGACACGACGTTGAAAATATTTGATTTCACGGCGCGCCAATGCGAAATGGTTTTAACTGGTCATGGCTGGGATGCCAAATCTTGCGATTGGCATCCGACAAAGGGTCTCTTGGTCTCCGGGTCCAAAGACCACCAGGTCAAGTTCTGGGACCCGCGCACGGGTCGATGTCTGACGACCCTTCATAGCCATAAGAATACGGTTACATGCACTCGATTCTCACGGGTTAACAACAACCTACTCGCAACATCTTCCCGTGACCAGAGTGCGCGTGTATTTGATCTCCGGATGATGCGAGACATGTGCATTCTAAGAGGCCATGAGAAACCGATATCTTCCATGACATGGCATCCCATCCATAGTTCACTTATCTCTACGGGGAGCGAGGACGGATCAATTCACCATTATCTTCTAGATGAGCAAAATCTACCCGCTGGACAGGTTCCAACTGTTGCGCCCTATGACAGCGCTGATCCGGCTAATACGCCAGCACAAGTCATCTTCCCAGCCCACCGTATCCCATACGCCCACGCATCCACCATATGGACACTCGACTGGCATCCGCTTGGCCACATTCTCGCATCCGGGTCGAAGGATAATTTCACTCGATTCTGGTCCCGCGCACGACCCGGTGAAACCAGCTATCTGAAGGACAGGTTCCATATTGGCGAGGAGGCGGCAGAGGCCCAAGGAACGTGGAGTCGTAACTTTGGTCGCCGGCAGATGAGGGAAGAGGAGGAGCAGGAACTCCAAGACGAGGCAGAGGGGCTTGTGGACCAAAAGAAACCGGACACGTCACTCCTTCCAGGTATTCAGAGTGGTGCTGGCGGCGAAAATATGGGGATTCCAGGGCTGATCCCGGGGATTGGAGCTGTCCAACCACCGCCCCCACCCCCGTCAGGCACACCCCAATCCATGCCTCAAGTGGACCCCAGCCGTCTAGCAGCTATGGTTTCCTCTGGATCGTTTCCTCTACCGCAAGGCGATTTACCACCAAATTTACGCCCGCCTCCATACCCCATACCTGGTATGCACGGTGGTCTCCCTCCACACATGGATCTAGCAACTCTACAAGATCAATTTTTCGCGCAGCAGCAGCAACACCACCACCAAACAGGCGCTTTCCAGCAAAACCAAAATTTCCAGTCCTCAGGGATTCCAGGTGTTCAAGGCCCAACCAGTGACCAGAACGAAGACTCTTCGAACAGTGTAAGGAAACGCGGACCTTTGCCAAGCCAGCAAGATAGCTTGATGGAAGAACAACGAAGGGGGAACTGGCGAAATATTAGATAAACAGAGCAGAAAAATATGTTCCATATATGGTATTAGTGTAATATAAAGGTGCTACAACCTTATATCCGGGGAGATGGAGTGGTGATTTACCTGCATTCTTTTAAAAGTCCATCATGTCTGGTCATTTCCAAATGAATTGGGTGGGAGAGCATCCGGTATTGGGTAAGATCATTGCGATTTACGTGCCCTGTTGGTTTTTTGTTTTTTCCAGGCCGAGCGTCTGTTTGTTATACCTCAGGTAGCTTTATGTATGCTACGTTTATGATATATCAGACATGCTCTCCAAAAATTAAGTGCCTAGCCACAGTCCACCTCGAACCGAAAAACTGGACAGGATCAGCACAAGTGTATTAGTTGCCGCCCACGAAAACGGTATCCATGTCGACATATGATAGTTGCCAGCTTCATAGACAGCTCCAAGTCTGTATATACACCACATTTCCACGTCAGTAAACCTACAATGTGCATTTCCATGTAAGGTACAAAACCACTCCCACTTACATAAGCCCGACAACACTACCAGCCAACAATGCCTCCAACGCCGCGACGAGTATATATACCAGCGGCGCGGCCCAGATTAGCTTCCAGCTGCGCCATTGCATCACAGCAGCGCAGAGGGAAGTAAAGAGATGGATGCCGATGTAGAAGAGCAGGGTCCAGAAGAGCGTGAAGCGCCATATATCGCCCGTGTAATAGAGATATTTAGCGCCTTGGTGATAGAGGCCTGCGGAGATGTAGAGGGAGGGGAAGGGAGGAGTTTGATAGTCTAGAGGGACGGTCTGGAAGGCGGAGTGCATGGTTGGCTTTTGTTACGGTGGATTTATTTAGGTCTCCGCGTATGTTTGGTTTTTGTTTCTAAGGGTGAAGGGTTAGGTGGGATGGACTATGCACACCCATCGTGAATCTGCTTTTTTTTTTTTTTTTTTAGTTATTCGGGGTTAAAACACGTTAATAGCTGTTGCGTTGGCCCTTGAGGAGGGGAATGACGATGTTGCGCGGCGCTTATGTTTGCACTGTTTGCACTATTTGCACTGTTTGCACTATCATGTGAAAGCTTGGCTCATGAACCTCGGCAGTTCGGAGAATGTTAAACATCAGGAACAAGGAGGATACATCAACCAACTTACTCTACTTCATGTAACTAATTCGGCCTGGACGTCAATGAATAGGGGAAGCCTGTCCACGGTCCAAAATGGGGACTGAGAGGTCTCTCGCTATCCTTCTTCGCTCTCTTCGCACTGTTTCCGTTAACCAAGAAGACACCTTCAGGTAGGATTCCCTCAATTCCTCCTATGTCATGCAACTAACCGTTTTCTATACGTAGCCTCCTGCCATCCTCGACCGGACTCCTTTCGTTGCTCTCCAATCCCCTGAATGTAACGTTATTGTCATCACAACTGCTGCACTCCCCAGCCCTATGGAGTGGTGACGTCAATCTCGAAACCTGCCGGCGCATTCTCAGCGTGTTCAATACCGCAGCTATTAGCGTCGTGCACAATGAATCGCAACAACAAGTGCCCCTATCACTAAATACGCGGAGGAGAGGACTTGAGCGGAAAGAGTGGGTGAAAGCGGTAGTCCAGGGCGCAGATGACAAGTCCCCACGATGGAGACATACTATTTTGCTTGGAGGGATGTTGCTGGGCATGGAGGGTCAGGGTCTACGCAGTTTGCCATTACATATGCGAAGGAAACTGGAATCGGGCTTGGTAACGGCATTACAGCTTTCATTGAGAGAACTTGATTCGTTTCCTAGAGTTGCGCGAGACTGTATCGCTATGGTGATGAATTATACGTTTGAACTGCTCTCGGATGCGGAAAGGAGCAAATTCGACTACAACATTATCCTTCCTCTTCTCGTGGACAGTGTGTTTTTCTCCCCGGAGGGTTTCAGCTCGGGGTACTTCCTTGGTGCTGTTGATCGGGACATTTGCGAGACTCCTGCGAAGAAGTTCGAATGGTCCTCTCAATCAGCAACTTACCTTCATGTCCGTGCGATAACGGCGAAGCCACTCATCTCTTCCCTGGGACCTCTATCACGACTAATTGCACACGCTGTTGAGAACTGCCAACACCAGTGGTTGGTGATGCAGGCTGTGGATTCTCTTCTCGACTTCACGAGGACACTAATGGTTCAGTGGCGGCAGAACAAATTGTCAGAAGTCGATATATCTGAAGAAGCGGAGTTTCTTGATGAAACATCCCGACAAACCACCATACCGGCTCTCTGGAGATTGTTGAAAACATCCATGTTTTCTGTCATTATCATTCTAAGGGCAGTGCTGGGAAGGGCAATTAATGACTGCATCCTTGCGGCTGATGATAGTAAGTTTACGTCCCCAGAATTGGATTCCCCCACTAATCGCTATGCTGGCTCAACGTGCTAATATCTTTCCCTCCAGGTGCCCCACTGCTTTCTAGCAAGACCCTGCATATCCTTAGAAACCTCAGTTTTGTTTCAGCACGAATTGGCCAGAATACATTCTCCCAGTATATCTTCGTCAATCTTACCGCAATCGATATCCTGTCGCAGTACCCAGCTCACTCCCAAGAATTCTTAGAGAGTATCCGTCCTGCAACAGCTGGTCGTATTCCAGATTATCCCATTGATAGATGCCTAGATCTTTTTTTCCTAAATATAGCGGAGCATTTTACTCTAGTACTTTCCCCAACCGTTAACGAAGAACTATTAATCGCCGCTGCACTCCCATATCTCGCCGCTGGCGGCAACAATAACCTCCTAGAAATATTCGAAGCAGCGCACAGCGTCGTACTAGCTGTCCTCGCTGCCCCCAAGAGTGCAGATATGGCCGTGAAGCATCTCCCACTTTACGTCAACACACTTTTCGCAGTACGTATTAATCGGCAAAAAAGCGTTCATTCACTCCAAAAAGGATATGTTGCTAATACAAATCCCAGGTCTTCCCCCAAAACCTCTCCGCCCGCCAATTCCGCCTTGCCTACAAAACAATTCTCCAAATCACCGCCCCCCCTTCCCCTTTAGCAAACAGCCAACCCCTCCTCCCCTCTATCCTCCTCGAGCTCGTATATGAAAGAGCCTTACAAGCACCCACCATCCCACTAGCACCACCCACCTCTGCTCCCACCCCTGCCGATCAAAACCATATCACCAATAATATGCCCCAATTATCCGAACAGGCCATCCTCACCTTAACCCTGATCGAATGCCTATGTTACCTCCGCCTCGATACGCTGGAGGAATGGCTTCCCGTCGTCGCGCATCTCGTCAATGTTATACCGGATAGGACGATGAGGCAGCAATGCCAGGAGAGGTTTTGGGATGCGCTCAGTAGTGGAGAGATGGATGTTGAGCGGGCGAGTTTCTGTGTTACGTGGTGGAGTACTAGGGGTGGGAGGGAGATGGTGTTGTTTGGGTCTGAGGAAGATGTGAAGATTCCGTATATGAGTGGGGGAATTGGGAGCGTGGAGTCGCAGAGTAAGCTGTGAACGATGGTTACGTTTTAAAAAGAGGTAATCGGGAGCATATATAGACGTGGAATGAGGCATATTGATGGTTTACATGTCAACCTGATCAGGTTGCACACTGTACAGTTTTTTTTATGTATAATACTATGTTTTACATTCTGAAATCCGTATTTGCGGCCCTGGGGACGAAGGTAATTCACCCTTTCTACCTGATAACTCAATAGTGAAAGCGCCAAGTGACTCCAAGGTGACATGAAAATATCGGTTATGGTATAGGAAATAACCCATGTTCCACGGCAAAATACATGAGAGAATTTTTCCAATGACGCCATGAACTATAAAAGAGCATGGAAAGATGGGCAAAAAAGACAGCAAGATGCATTTTATCTTCGCCTCCTTTCCCCCACCGATCCCAATTTACATCAAAAAAAAAAAAAAAGTCTGATTTCCCCCGCCTTCATAATCCCAGCAGGCATGCGGTGTGTCGGTGGTGGCAGTGGTTGGTAAAGGAGGAGGTGTGAGTGGTTTGAATGTGTGCCAGAAGCAGTCAAAATTATTCAGGCTGGACTGTATCTCACGAAATGAAGGGAATTCCAACCCGTGTTTTTTCTCGGTAGTCGATGTACTCCTTACCAAAAAAGCCAACCAGCAGCTTCTCCTCTCCTGAAGAAACCCAGCATCAGCATGAAGCAAAAATAGAAAGAAGTCTGTCAGCCCATGTGGAGAAAACTCACTCTTTATACGGAAGGAAAAGAACTGCCAAAGCACAATGGCATAGCCGAAGAAGCAAACAACGTTTCCCAGAACAAGCTGGGTCCCTAGGCCCCACCAGAAAAAGCCAAAGTAGCTCGGGTGACGGAGGATGCTGTAAATGCCCTCTTTAACCAACGTATGTCCCTCCCTTCGCCGGGATTGAATCGTGTGTGTGAAATTTGTCCCGGCTTGTCGCATCGCTAACGACCTGACAATTTGTCCGACAACCATGAAAATTAATCCCAGACCAATTTGCACCTTAACCCCTCCAAACGCCATAGATGTCCATCTAATATATCTTACAGGCAAAAACATGCGACTTAGCAAACACTCAGCCAGCGCAGAGGTATGTGCAAGATTATACGCCGCTCCGTTCGAGGAGAGCAGAAAGGCAGAGATCGACGCATAGGGGGTATTGTATTGAGCTGTGAGATAGTATTCGAGAAAATGGAAGAGACTGAGAGTCGTGAGAAAAAACGGAGCGCGCCAGAGCGGATTCGACAGCTTCAACAAAAGGAAGGTTAGGAGGAGGGAGAAGCCGAAAACCTGCCCCAGAATGAACGAGCGGATAGACACGCCGGCCAGAGACTTTTTGCCTCCTGGCAGGGTCGCGGGGTCAGCTGCTTTCAATGGCTTTGTAAGAGCGGCATCAGGAGCAGTATTTGTATCGCGTTCTCGTCTGTAGGGAGCGTATTGTTGACAGGGGCGCCATTCGCCGCTGCTGGCGGAGGGGGGATCGGTTAGGGTTGGTGGTGGTGGGGTATCATGGCTATTTGACGAGATGCTTTCGGAGGACGTCTCTGATTCATACTCCATGGTTAAGGGATAGTGTGGAGAGGTATTTTCTGGTGTGGGTGGAAGAAGTGGAAACTCATGTATCAGCGAAGCGAGCGGACGAGCCAAACAGAGCCGAGATTGATGCAGAGAAAGAAAAGTTATAGGAGAGATAGAGAAACCGTATTGGAAATCGGACCCATTATGAACGGTCCGAACTCATCAGCTCCCCGAAGCAGAATAAATAAAAAGGCTGTAATTAGCTCCTAAAACGGAGAGTGTTCATTCGGTCCTTTGCTATGTGTTAACATCACTTACAATCTGTTGTTCTTTTTGATATTGAGAGCTTGAGTATTGTCTCGCCGGGCTTGGTTTAGCGCTCACTGACTTTGAGCTTAAGGACAGCCGTTGACGTCATCATGGCTTACTTTCTCCAACCATTCCATTGTAGGACGGGGGAGAGAATTCCGCACCACGAAAGATGTCTTCAGCTGAGCCCATATCTTGGAATGGGAGTGGAACCCTTCAGCCTGAGACCTATTCCAATGCTCTGGCTAATTGCTCTCTTCATATGATGGTTAGCAAACTCATTAACTGACCAGTGAACTCATACAGAACAGCCCCGTTAGTTAACTAGTTTACTACTAACCAACCTCGGATCTCTCTCACCAGCCGGCAAGCCCGGAGTCCAAGTCAACCCATCCCCATTCTTCGACATCCTTAAACCGCAACAAAATTCTAAGAAATAGAAAAGGGAGAGAATGTGTGTCCACAAAGGGGGAAACTGACAGCTGCCAATTTCTGCTCGATATTACCTTCAGGTTCAACCCATTGACAACATGGCAGGGCGGACAGAGAGAGAGAAAATGCTGCGCGGCGAACTCTACCATGCCTTTACTCCGGACCTTGTAGCTGCGCGTGCAAGGTGCAAGTGGGCATGTAAACGATTCAATGATTCGGGAGAAGTCTCCCGCAGACGGCAAATCGAGCTTTGGAGAGAGTGAGTGGCTCCCAACGTGTGGTTGTTTACATACCCACTTCCTTTTATCTTGAAATGTAGCTCGCCATTCCGTACTCCTCCATCTTCCCAAGTTATTTGACAAATCTTTACATATTCCCACCACATCATTACCACCTGCTAATCGGCATCTCCACCCAGCCGTTCTTTCTGATCATCGTCATCAAAGTCACTAACACATATTCTCTCCGCGCCCTTCAAATCCCCCAGGATCATCCAGGATCCAACTCCCCTCCCCCCACCCGCGACGGACCCCGCAGCCGACGAAGCCCTCTTCGAAAACGAGCCGTGGATCGAAGCTCCCATCCGCATGGATTACGGCTTTAACGTAAAAGTGGGCGCAGGCGCCTTCATAAACTTTAACTGTGTCATCCTCGACACCTGCCTGGTGACCATCGGGGCACGAACTCTCCTAGGTCCCAACGTAAATATCTACAGCGGGACGCATCCGCTGGATCCTGCGTTGAGGAACGGGACGAAAGGCCCAGAATTGGGGAAGGAGGTGCATATAGGCGAGGATTGTTGGATTGGTGGGAATGTGGATATTTTGCCGGGGGTGAGGATCGGGAGGGGCGCGACGATCGGGGCGGGGAGTGTGGTTAATAAGGTGTGTTTTTTTTTTTTTTTTTGTATGTTGTGTGAATTCGAGATGCTGCTTGCTGACGGCGGAGGTATTTTATATCAGGACGTACCGGCCTTCCATGTTGCAGCTGGGAATCCGGCGAGGATCATTCGGCGCATTGAGACGTCGATGGCTACGACAGATTCGTCAGGGCGTGAAGCGCAGACCTGATATTCCAAGGCCGACTAAATGTTGACAGATGCATCACGCTGAATGATGGATGAATTATGAATTACAGAACTTTGCGTATACATCCAATGTTTAGACGTCATTCAAGAAACGATAGGTCAATGAAGCAACTATAACGATAAACTTAACTGCGGCATGCGCCTGACTCTATTCATGCGTTTTCGGTTAAAATTCTCGTTCCTGCCCCCTCAACCTCTCAACCCTACCCTTCACAAGATCATTTACCCGCCCACGGTCTTGCGTCCCCTTTTCTCTTCTGGCAGCATGGCAGCAACAGCCTATACCTCCTTTCCCACGTACTTAGCCACATCAACTACGAAAGGCATATACTCATTCGAAAAAGCACCATCATCACTTTCGACCCCAATGATGTTAATCTATAACACCTTGAGATCCTCATCGTTGGCAGGGACTAACAATAATGGTCAAATGTCACCAGGGCTGTTACTGCAACCCAAAGTTCACAAATTAGTCGAGCTAACTAATTGGTTGAAGCTAGCAGAATAAAAATCACTAAAAAGGCGCGGGCCCGGGTCTGGAAAATGGATTTGCATTTCTGCCTGCATATCTCCAAAGGAAACTATAAGGAGGGCGTACAGTTGAACGTGGTTTTGGAAAAGCGGAGTGGTTTATGCTATGAACCATGATACCACCCCATTAAAAAAATTACATACGCTAGTTAAACCCATCTCTATATGCCCTTGACGGCAGTGATTCTTTATTATATTTCCCAGCTCTTATCCTTGACTAACCCTAATCCTGGTGTTGAGGGAGGAGGTTGAATACAGGTGGATCTGCGGTGTGTGTGGGCAGAGTGTGTAGGACTGATTTTTTGACTATGATATGTTGTAAAATCAAGCTTGACTCCTAGCAAATTACCAATACCTAGGAATACACCTCCCCGGCCTCCTCAGGAGCTCCCCAACGGTGATGACATAGGGAGGGGGAGGAGAAGCGGAGAGGCCACCGCAGGCGGAGGTTGAATCTGCGGGGAGGCGACAGGAGGAGCGGGAGCGGGAGCGGGCCCGTGTGGCGGCATAGTAAATGGATACCGTATGTGTTCTCATGTACCATGGTGCAGGTGCATGCATAGCTCTTTGATGAAAATGAATGATGAGTCCTCAATTTAGCGCAAACTGCGGGTGAAGCATGAAAATGGTTGAGAGGAAGAGCCGCTAGCGCCTGCGGGGAGCAACCTGTTTTGCTCTTTCTGGATCAGAGTTTCAAATGGAGCTTTTTATTATTATTATTCTTCTTCTTTATTTAATGAAAAAAAAAAGAAAAAAAAAAAAAAAAAAAAAAAAAAAAAAAAAAACTCTTTTCTGGTGGAGCGTAAACTAGACATGAAAATCGATGGTAGGATGATAAAGGAACGAAACTGCGCTCTGAAGCCGGTCATTTTGTCCTTCATTCCTACCATGCCGTCTGGCAGGGTATCATCATGATGACGCCGTAAGGGTAGTTAACAGAGAGAGGACGATTCTCCAAGGAGATGAATTGGAAAATAGAAAAGAGATAGCAGAAAAACATTGACCGATTGTTTGATCCGGGGTCTTTTGCCAAAGTTAAGATAGCTACCTCGGTAACGTTGTTCACCAGGCGGGGTGGAACCAATGGTTGCAAGGTTGCTCTTATCCTGCACCTTGTATGAGAAACCGACTTTTAAGGACAAAAGAGGAGGGGAGAGAGAACACCTCTCTCCCCCCCTTTGTTTTTCTCTTTTCCCCATTCGTAGCCAGTGGTTTCCCGTAAACCTTTCAACAAGAAGAAGAAGAAACCGAGGAAGAGGAAGAGGAGGAGGAATTCTGCATTTACTCATAATTCTCCTGAGTGTGAAGGCTCTCTCCGTAGAGCGATTGCTCTGTAAATGCCGCCCGAGTTTTGTCGGAGGATGTCGGTACCGCAGCGTAGAAGGGGTAGTTAGTAAGCTACTTGTGGATAGCGTTTAAATCCCCCCCTGGTGCAGAAGCCAGATAATAGTTATTAACAGTTATTACACCATCATTTGTTCAGCGGTAATTGGACTGGTTGGTTGGTTGGTTAACTATAATGTATTTCATCAACCAACATACCTGATCCTTGCTCATGTGATATAATCCCTATAGCTAATGTCTAGGTGTCATACACAGGCCTCATACGACTGGAGTAAACGAAATCATACATACCTAGCCCGAGAAAAGAAAAGATGAAGAAAAAAAAAAAAAAAGAGAGAGATAATACATACTAGAAACTATTTCAATAAGAATTGCAACAGGTGGTATCTGTAATCAAAGACTCTACAATGCTCATTCAGCTGTCGAAAGTTACTCTCTCATTATCAGAGTCAACAACTCCAATCGCCTTCACTCTCCATCATCATCATCATCTTCTTCTTCTTCTTCTTCGTCGTCGTCGTCTCTTTTGCTCGTATAATCAATAATAGTCATGTAAACTTGTAAGAAAAACATTATAGTCTGAACCTTTTCACTGACTTGATCCCTTATTTACACTCGATCGTGAGAAAGCGATGCAGTATGTTGGGTGTGATCAGGTTTAGTGGTGAAATACGTCTTGATACGGCGATTACCCGATAACGAACCAACCGCCCACACTTTCTTATCGTGGGGGTCCAACCAGCGTCATCGGGATGTCACATGACTTCAGTCCTTGGAGTCACGGGTTTGACGCAAACCAGCTAACAAATCAAAATGTCGTATATACACAATATTGTATGTGCATATGTTGTGCATTGTGAAAAGAGCATGTGTGGAAAATGAGAAGAGGGCAAATTGAGCAACCTAGGAGAGAGGATCTTGTTGGCAAGCAAGCAATCAAGCAGTGTTTATTTATTCAACCCTTGCGGGCTTTCAGGGTCGAAGTTTAAAGCTGAACAATATCTAGGCAGACATGACATCGGAACTGGCATTTAAATACAGAACTAGCTATCAACTGGTAAGCGGTTAGTTAAACTAGTTGATCTGGTTATAGTTAAGGAGGAGGATGACTATTTTAACTGGTTACTAACTATTACTTCTCTGCTGTTTACCTGCTGGATTAAAGCCAGCAATAGATTTTGGTAACTATTAGAGAGTGAAAGATAAAACGGCTGTTGGTTTAAACACTCCGTACTTCCATTCCATGGTTCGTTTTCCTTCATCCTTCTCTCAACCACCAATCACCCTGCACACTCTATTTGCTCTTGCGCTCCCTCCGTTTGTCGAACTAACACCACCCACCTCCGTCCAACCTCTGCTCAATGCAAGGTGGAAGTACTCCAGCAACCTCCAGCAGACCGCCGTTGTCTGTCCATTATCCCGACCTAGGCTCAAGCAGAGCATATTTACCGACCAATCCCAGTCACCAACGCCATACTTTGACCCTTCAGCCTCTCACCCTCGCTCTCCCTCCACGCACCCACTCGCTCGCTCGCTCGCTCTACGTGCTCTCTCTCTCGCTCTCTGCCTGGAGCTTTGACTCATTCTCCCCACATCTCACCCACCCGATCCCCCCCCCCCCCCCCCCCCCCCAAATTAATAATATTACTTCCAACGCTTTGCGCCCCTCTATGGAGTTAGTATCCACCAGATTCGGAAAAAAAATTTTGGGGCGTGCCCCCGCTAGACAAGAGCTTTTGTCAAAACAACAAACCACTTGTCCTTACAGATAGTTTACGTGTTTAGAGGGAACCTCATAGCAAATTTGATGTTAGACGCGGTTTTTTCTCGTGGAGCTGGTAGGGAGTCTCCCTGACCAACCAGAGAACGCGG